GATAATTCAAATACCAGTGGATGAATTTGGCTCAATTTTTTTATCAAAACATGTTTTGTTCGGTGGGATTTGCTACTCCATGGAGTTGCTGTTTTTCTAGTTACATGAAAATTAAATGTTTATATTGATGAAATGTTACTGCTTTTAAGGCATCTTGATCAGTAGTGTCCCTAATTGATTCGAGTTCTGGTTAAAAATGATGTTCATTTGCATTTTATTACTTTAGAAAACAATGGGGGTATAACAAAAACTTAAAGACTCAGTGTTAGCTAAGACAAATCTCTTGTATGAAACTGTCACTCCAAATTTTCTGCAGGAATTTCCAAATATCTCAGCATTGTTTTAATGAAAATTGAGATGGAGTGAAATATCAAGAGCAGTGTACTGTATATTTAGCATTGTACTGTGTTACATCTTTAGCCCTTATTATAGTCTTATTGGCTCACAGTGTGTATAACAAATTGTTTCTCTTTTGTAACCATTTGAAGGTGGTGACATTTTGTTTTGTGAATACATTGTTAAATTTTTATTGACTTTTCTCTTCCTGTTAATTTTTCATATCTATGATTATATCCTTTTATTGTACCAAAGACAAATATTTTCTATTTGATCATTACTAAAAAACACTTTGATTGAGCGTGGTAAAATGTTGATTATATTTACTGATCCAGATTAATACCACAACTGCAGAACGAAATGAATCATTTTTCCTCTTCGAATTATAGCTTTAGTAGAATTGTTGTCTATTTTCACAGAAAATAACGATATTAAGATGTTTGATTTTAATCATACAATTTGGAGGCCGTGTCACTTTTAAAAATATAGTCTAAATAAATAAGTAATTAGGAATTAACACGATAAAATGTCACTGGTAGGCATTTATTAGAGCTTTGGAATAAGGTACACCAAATGCTGCCATCGAACACCAAATGCTGACACCAAACACCAGTTACAAAATTAGTGGCTATGATTAATAGTTGCTATGACAATAATTGACCACTTCTTTGTGTTGGTATTAAACATGAACACTTTACAAAGTGTTCATATTTTGAAAAATGTGCACTTGAACAGTACATATTATTTATTACAGTACATATAACAGTACATATTAGTATTATTACAGATACTCCATTTTGAAAGAGGTTTATCAGGTTGTGTATACATAAGCAAAGAATTATCCACTCATAAATTTCTGTAAAACATGGTTGTTTAATAGCACAATTCAAGTGTTTTGTTCAACTTCAAATGAATTGTAGTATTAAATACCTTGTACATAATGATTTGTCAATTATTATTCTAAAACATGAGTAATATTTCATTTTGTAATTATTTGTTTTTGATGAGGTATATAGTATGTAAATATAAGTGATATGATTTCATGTTATACAGATACATTTATAGTTAAATGATAAGGCATTAAATTCTCATTATGAAAGAGTGTAAAGTAGTTATTCAGTTATATTGTGAAAGTAAATGTATGGCAACATAACCATACTGTAATTTTTATCTTTTGTATATCAGGGTTATGGTAACATTTATGAACATTAATCCAGAACATTTGAATCTCACTAGAATATTCTGTTAAGTCAATGGAGCAAGTGAGCTAAAAATATTTCAAGAGACATTGCGTGCAGATAAAATATGTGGGGTGATGATTAAATTAGTGTCCGAATTTTACGCTCTTCTACCAAAGGAAACAAAATTGAATTTGGCAATTGAAATGGATTAATCAGATTTAGGGAATATCGGCTTTTTGAACTCTGATTTATGTTGGTATTGGGTATATTGGTCAGGTTTTATGTTAGATTAAGTAGGATCATCTATCAATTAGTATTTTCATACCTAGATCCTATTAATACAGTGGAACTTGTATATCCAAACATGTCTCTGGAGTGAACGCCTCTCAATATGAAAACTTTTGGTGTTTGGTATCTGTCATGTAACAAATGGCAGTTAGTGACATTTTGCATGTTAATGCCTTGTTATTTTCTATTGACTTCGTGCGAAACACTTGTCATTCCACCATAAATAATTGAACAAACATCGGTTAAGTTTCAGAGTAAAAATTGTTAAGGTGTAAAAAATGGTTAAAGATGGATATCAGTTTAGCTGCAATAAATGGTAATGCCAAGATGGAAAATTAGAGTAAGTGGGCAATGTAGTCTACAATTGATATTTGATTGGCTACCATGGATGTAGCTCACTGTGAGGTAGCAGGCCAGGTGATTGCCTTGTCATATTGTTTAGCCAGTTTTAAACTTAAGTTTTATCTAGCTGCCCAACCCTATTTAAATTTGCCTTTTTTGATCCAAGCTATGCCACTATATACCCCTTTGTTTTTTTTATTTTTTTTTATATATACCTGGTATCTGCAGCACTAACTTGGTGGTGGTCATTATACTCCTGCTTCATTCTTAGCTATCTCGAAGGATCAGTGGACTATTAGGCCAGTGGCAACTTGTACATACAGAACCTGAAGCTTTAGCTTGAATGGATCAACTATCATTGCTGCATGCCCAACCCATTATATACACCATATATACACTAACATAGGATATGAGTTATATTCCATGCATGGATAATCTCAGGAGTTGGTCTTGTTTCAAGTCTCCAGACCCCCTTCCCCTTTATTCACCTTCAGATATGTTTAGTTTGGGGGAGGGGTCATGGGGGCTTGTAGCTAGACTATGGTCATGAAACATGTTCAAAGAGAAAAAAACATAAAACAAAAACATGATCAAAAGGAAATCAAAATGTTTATTTTATGCCTCAGTCACATTTGATCTGTGGCAACCATACAACAGCCATAGCTTCTAAAAATCGAGAGAAATATGCAGCATAAAATACAGGGATAAGCAGTACAATGTAGATTATCTATATCGATTTTGTGAAGCTACGGCCGCCGTAGAGCATATGTGACTGAGCCATTATTCGTGTATTTTGTGTTTTTTCTCTCAACTAAAGCTTGGAATTCTCTGACTCTTGTATGTTTTGAAAGAGTTTGAAAATTACTAACCATACATGACTTGCATTTCTGATTCTTGCTTTGTAATAGCCTTGAGCAATTATCAATAATTAAGTATAAGATTTTTATTGATACAGATTTTTGAAATAAAAGACTTGTTTTATATTATTACTATTTTTAGCTCACATGGTGAGCTTTTGCAATCACTCACTTATCCGTCTGTCTGTCCGTCCGTCCGTACGTCTGTCTGTCTGTCCGTCAACAATAGTGGCATGTTTTAAAACCTCTGTCGATAGGATTCCTGTTTTAAGTTATTTCTGTTCAAGATCAATACAGAAAACTCCCCTATGACTCCTGGTTCAAAAGCTCGCCTATTTTCAAAATGGCCGTCACTTTTGTCTCGCGAAATTCACTTTTGACCCATTTCCTAGCTTTACAAATAATTTCAGGTGTCCTACACTGTAAAAATCCATGTCAATGTAAAGGGTAGATATATGTTATAATATTGTTACAAAAAATCAGCGAAAAATTATATCCATTTTCTTATTTTCAGCCATTTTAGTTAACATTGATTTGTCTATCTGACTCGCGAAATCCACTTTTCGTCAATAACAGTGGCACGTTTTAAAACCTCTGTCGATAGGATTCCTGTTTTAAGTTATTTCTGTTCAACATCAATACAGAAAACTCCCCTATGACTCCTGGTTCAAAAGCTCGCCTATTTTCAAAATGGCCGCCATTTTTGTCTCGCGAAATTCACTTTTGACCCATTTCCTAGCTTTACAAATAATTTCAAGTGTCCTACTTTGTAAAAATCCATGTCAATGTAAAGAGAAGATGTATGAAATAATTTTGTTACGAGAAATCAGCGAAAAATTATATCCATTTTTTTATTTTCAGCCATTTTAGTTAACATTGATTTGTCCATCTGTCTCGCAAAATCCACTTTTGGACCATTTACCTTAAACCCTCTGTCGATAGGATTCCAGTTTTAAGTTAATTTTGTTCAACATCAATACAAAAAACTCTCCTATGACTCTTGGTTCAAAAGCTCGTCTATTTTCAAAATGGTCGCCATTCTTGTTTCGCGAAATTCACTTTTTGCCCATTTCCTAGCTTTACAAATAATTTCGGCTGTCCTGCATTGTAAAAAGCCATGTCACTGTAAAGAGTAGTTGTATGAAATAATTTTGTTACAAAAAATCGGCAAAATATTATATCTGTTTTTTTATTTTCAGCCATTTTAGTTAACATTGATTTGTTCATCTGTCTCGCGAAATCCTCTTTTGGACCATTTACTTAAAACCTCTGTCGATAGGATTCCAGTTTCATGTTATTTTTTTTCAACATCAATACAAAAAAACTCCCCTTTGACTCCTGGTTCAAAAGCTTGCCTGATTTCAAAATGGTCGTCATTTTTGTCTCGCGAAATTCAATTTTGGCCCATTTCCTAGCTATACAAATAATTTCAGGTGTCTTGCATTGCAAAAAGCCATGTCACTGTAAAGAGTAGTTGTATGAAATAATTTTGTTCCAAATAATTGAAAAAAAATTATATCCGTTTTTTTTTCAGCAATTTTACTTAACATCGATTTGTCCATCTGTCTCTCCGTCAGTCCAAAATAGTGGCAAGTGGCTTGAAATAATTTTGTTACAAAAAATCAGCAAAAAATTATATCCGTTTTTTTCTGTCACCATGTGAGCCCAGTACCCACGGTACTAATTTTATATGATATTATTATATTACAATTTACATACACATGCATCTATTGATCTGTTTAGAGTGACAGTTCAGAACATAGTTCCACTTAGAAATAGTAACAAATGGTTGAAATAAATTCTTAATCAATATAATTTATTTCTGTTGTTGTCTCTGAGCAGATCTTACACATGGCTGATTCATAACTAGCTCATTCATTTGGTCTGATTGATTTTGATAAAAGACCATTATAATGAGCCCATAATGAAGATGGCATTTTAAAATGTATTTTTACCTGAATGTCTGTTGTAATATGTTATTGTTGTCTTATTCCAGGCGAGAACCAACAGAGTAAGGAGAACGACCCACTTACAACTAATGAAGTTGATCTTGAAGGAATCCATTCTGAGAAGCATCTGGCCCTATATCAGGTAGGTTGGGTAAATTTATTAGACTACCCATAAGGATCTTCTTATCAATATATTATTAATTTAACTATACAGTAAATGCTTTGTTAGTAGAACACCTTGAGATACCTCAAAAGTTGTTCTAATTATATAGAAGTATTCTACCTATAGAGGTGTTCTACTTATGAGAGGTATTCCGCTTATATAGGTGTTCCACGTATGGAGGTGTTCTTCTTTACAATCTCTACTGTACTTACTTCAAATACTGTATCTGTACCTTGAATAAAATGTGATTCTTTATTCAGGATGAGTTTAAACAGCGGCCAAAGGTGGCCAATGTTATCAACGGCCTCGCAAACTTTAATGCAATGGGGATCATGCCAAGTGAAACAGAGAGGGAAAAGATGGAAGAGGGTGCTGGTAAACCAAAATCTGTAAGTAAATAAAAGAGTATGACGCCTTTTTTGAAAATTGGTCATTTTGCAATTATCGTGAATCTTATAATGTCCCATGATTGTGATTTTATGTTAATTATATACAGCAATGAAATAATATTTTGTAATCAATATCAATCACTATGAAAAACTATGATTGTTTCAAAAATGTCTTTTTCTAGGTCATAGTAATCTCAAATGAAAAACTATTTCTAATTCGTGTGTATTGTAAGAACATTTGCCAGGGGTCTTTTATATGTATATAATATAATTATATGAAATTTGTGAATTTAATTATCTTTTCTGCAAATACTTCCTGTATATTCCTTCATGTAAACAGAATTATTACCACCTTGCCGGGCCAGTTCTAGGGGTTTTAGTGCTAGTTTAGAAGGCATTCATTTTACTATATCGACCTGAGCAATATATGACATCATAGTGGTGGTCCATATAGCATTTTAGACCGGTCGAGAATGCATTTAACGAACGTTTAACAATTTTCCCCGGGAAATTAGATATCGTTCAGTACATAGGTTTTCTTCCTGTTTCAGTCCTGGTCGTTAACGGTGGTAATAATACTAAAAATGTCATTTCTACGGGCCCTCGGTCCAATCTTTCACTATATTGCCCTTCGAAATGACGTTAATGTACTAATGGCGCAAAACATACAGTTGACGTTATTGAGGATCTTCTGATTTAATTATTTTGAATATATATTGTACATGTAAAACAGGAGAGGTTTTAGTATTAACTAAATTACTGTTAAAAGCTTTTTTTCATAGGAGATTATTACAAACTTGACACTTGACATAAGATAATATTGAAATATTATTGTAATATATTATATTGTATATAAAGTGGTTCGTATTTTTGCAATTTGAAAGCTTTTTGACATGTCTTAGGAGATGTTTTTTCATTATTAGGCTTAGAAATTATGTCCGGTTATGTTCCGGCACTGTTTGTTAAAAACAAGGTATCATAAAAGAGTGTTGATGCATCCTCATTCATTCTGTGCACAAATATTAATCTAGATTGGAATTAGAATATCACAGAAATTTAAATGGCTTATTAAAAATTTCAATCTAACAGTTATTTGTGTGTTTGCGTTATGTATGGCCATTCCAGTTATTTCAAATTTTTGTCAAATTTCATTGAAACTCTTTATCACTCTCTTTTAGTAGTAGGTAATAATTTCAGATTTTGAACTAAATCGATTAAAAAATTTCTGCCTTTAAAACTGCTTTGTGAGAATAAATGCATACTAACATCTGATTTTTACTCTGCATGAATTCAGCTCCAAACCTGGTTATATTTTACATTTGTATGAGTTCCTCACATTCTGGTTTTTCAGAGCTCCTTTTTAACTAGTTCTCCTCCAGAGGTAGGAAAAGCTGAACCCACAATAAGTTCTACCATCTTCCATCAAAGCATTTATTATTCAAATAAAATCTGTAAAAATTCTACTACATGTACATTTACAAGTATATTGTACATCTTTGAATGATAATGTAAATCTGAAAAATATAATTGCAATGCTCCAATGAAGTTCAGTCTGATACACAGCTTTAAGAATAACACAAGGTCAATTTAGGCACTAGGACTCTGTTGATGGGGGTTTGAGTCTATTATTGTGGCTGTGTATAAGACTGTGTTTTCTTGATTATTTGGTTAACCTAATGCAATTGTTATGTCACCACCAGAAATGGTGACATTTTGTTAAATTCTCCAACTTTTGTGTGGTGGCATTTAGCAGTTGCTTGTCAATTGGTTTTCGGTATTTGTAACAAATGATAGGTGGTGACATTTTGCATGATAATGCCTTGTATGCATTATATAGAGTAAGTAATATACTGGTGTTTTATGAAAATTCATTTTGCCACACTTAACTAAGGAAATTGTCACATCTTAAAAATCAATTTCTTATTAGACTCCAGATGTCAATCTGGAGTCTATTGTTTTTGCCAGTATTCTTCTTCTTTATTCTTATTCTTCTTCTTATTATTATTCTTCTACAAACGTTTTCTCCTTAACTAGAAGACATTGAGCCAAGTCCTGTATATGGTCAATTTAGGTCCAGTATCTAGTTTCTGGGAAATTGGGTCAATTTTTTATCTAGGTCAAAGGTCAAGAACTAGGTCAAATCCAGTACTTTGTCACTTTTTTCAATTTTCTCAGTTTCAATCTTCTGGTTCGGAAGTTATGGCGTTTTGAAAACTCAAAAATCGCTAAATTTTGTGCCCATGTAAAGTCAATGGGAAAAAAGATTTTTTTGAAGTGAAAAATACGAAATATAGACTTAGTTCAGCTTAATTTAATGAAAGGCTTCAAAAGAAGGGGACCTCAAAAGCCATCTAGCTTCAGAATTTGGACACCAAAATTCCTAGGTCAAAATCTAGGTCAAATTCAAAGTTTTTCCTTATTTTTGCGATTCTGACACTACAGATTAATTATATTCTTCGAAATTTTGTATACATGTAGCCAAGAGTGTGCTAATAGTGTTAGCCTTTTGCCGTCAGAAAGTATTTTGCCCCACTTTTGAGATATGGTGTCCGAAAAGTAGGTCAAAATAAAAAATTCTCCAAATTTGACGTTTGAGTTATGAATTAAGTATAGAATTTTCTCAGGAAGACGAATCTGCAAACCAAATTTCGATTCGACTTCCGGTTCTGAAGAAATGGCGTGTCCGAAAAGTAGGTCAAAATAAAAATTCGCCAAATTTAACGTATGAGTTATGAATTAGGAGTAGAATTTTGTCAGGAATCCGAATCTGCAAATCAAATTTCGATCCGACTTCCGGTTCGGAAGTTATGGCGTTTTGAAATTTCAAGAAAAATCGATCTGATGGTATCCTGATAGAAAGTCAAGAGTAGAGAAGAAAATATTGAAAAATGCATCCATCCTTCCTTTCTGATCCTATCCTATCCTTCCTATCTACCCTTGCTTCGTATCCTCTCCTTCCTATCCTTCCTATTCTATCCCTTCTTCCTATTCTATTCTATCCTTCTTTCCTATTCTATCCTATCGTTCCTTCCTATTCTATCCTATCCTTCCTTCCTTTTTCATCCATCCATCTTTTGCTGGATGACTTAGCTTATTTTGGATGACTTGGCTTATTCTGGATGACTCGGCTAAAAAAAGTCTATTAGTCAATAATGCCAATTGATGAAAGCAAGGGAAATAGATATTCTTTAAACTATTCATTTTACCCCAGCCTGGAATTTCTGTGAACATTTAAGTCTTAGGTTACAGTCAAGGTGTACAATTCATCCAGTTGACCTCTTGAGAGGTTAAAAAATAACATAATAATTTTCTTTTTTTGCATTTTAGAACAAACTGGGGACATTACTAGGGGTATACCTACCATGTATTCAGAACATATTTGGTGTTATCCTGTTCATCCGTATGACGTGGATCGTTGGTACAGCTGGATGGCTAGAGGGCTTCTTTATCGTCTTTATATGCTGCTGCACTGTAAGTAACACATATCTACACCCTCAATTTGCACTTTGAAACCATAGTCCCGTATGGCACATAAGATGTCTACTTATATTCTGTACCAAATTAAGGCATTGAAAGACCAGAAGTTTACACATCAACATTAATTAAAAAATGAGTTAAATTGTCAACCTACATTTAATGGTATAATACATTTTGCCAGTTCATTTTAATCAGATATATCTTCAATTTTTGGTGAGAACCATTTTCCAATTACTGTCAATATCAGACTGACCTATTCACTTCAGACTAAGCCCATTATCTTAAGTTGAAATTTCAATTCATTAATCTTGACCAAAACAAAATGAAATCTTTGTTCAATTTCATTTCATTTAGTTTAATGCATAATTAATAAGCATCAGTTTTTATATCTAGGTAATATGCATTGTACATTATGTACGTAGGATTGTATATCAAATGGAAGCTTGTATGAGTGTTCAAAAAAAACTTCAAAAATGTAACAAATTGTCAGTTTATAATTATCCGCTACTTGAATCTCGAGAGAAAAATCATCCAGCATCCATCACAATAGTATAATAATAATCACTAGAAAAGGAAATTGGTTGTAACTTTGTTTTAATTCCTTAGAGATTAGAAGATGGGAACGCTGCCTGAAGGGTATCTTTCATATTAGCAAGACTTAATTTCATTTTTTAAAGTAAATTGTCTAGACTTGACACATTTGAGCTAGTTTCTGAACCTAAAGTATTTACTGATCATTGCACTTTGGGCCAGCAAAGGAGATCATCAATCCCATAATTCTAGTGTATTTAATCTGTAGAGTCCTCTGTTTATTGGCTGATTATCCCATCGAACGAAGTTCGGAGGGATATAGGGAACACCTCCGTCCGTCCGTCCGTCCGTCCGTACGTCCGTACGTACGTCTGTACGTACGTCCGTCCGTCCGTCCGTCCGGGCAATAACTCAAATACCGTTGACCCGATTTTATTCATATTTTGTACACATATACCCTATGGGGGTAGAAGTTCTGCTCGAAAGCTGATTTTCAAAGTGGCCACTCATTTAAAAATGGCGGCCATTTTAGTGCCGATTTTACAGTAATTTAGGTGCAATATGTAAAACTGTAATAGCAATATGTTTTAAATGTAAAAAAATTATATAGGACATTAATAAAGCTAGAAATGTAGATATTAAAAAAGCACATGGCAGCCATCTTGAAAAATGGCGGCTTTTACTCGTTATTTTACGATTTTTGCTGTAACTCGAAAAGTAGTGGAGCGATTTTGTTCATATTTGGTATGTGAATACTATAGGCATGGCACACTGTCTAATGACACTTTTGGTAGAAGGCGGCCATTTTGAAAAATGGCGGACATTTTGAAAAATGGCCGCCATTTTAACTTATTTTTGTAAAACTCGAAAAGTAGTGGAGCGATTTTGTTCATATTTGGTATGTGAATACGTATAAGCATGGCACACTGTCTAATGACACTTTTGGTAGAGGGCGATCATTTTTCAAAATGGCCGCCATTTTAACGTATTTTACTATAACTCGAAAAGTAGTGGAGCGATTTTGTTCATATTCGGTATGTGAATACGTATCAGCATGGCACACTGTTTAATGACACTTTTGGTAGAAGGCGGCCATTTTTCAAAATGGCCGCCGTTTTAACGTTTTTTACTATAACTCGAAAAGTAGTGGAGCGATTTTGTTCATATTTGGTATGTGAATATTATAAGCATGGCACACTGTCTAATGACACTTTTGGTAGAAGGTGCCCGTTTTGAAAAATGTTCGATGGGATTCGCTACGCTTTGGCGTTGCCGTTGTTCTGGTTCAGTTTTACATGTGACATTTTTGGTTCAAATTAATTTTCCTCCTCTCAAAAGCCAAGACACTGTAATACACAATAAGGAAACAGATGTCGTAAAAGATGGAACGTTTCAAGGCTCATAAAGGCTTAATGACAATTATGATGAATTTCTTTTTTGAAAAAGTGACACATAATCATGACGCTGCATTAACATCTCTCTTTGGAGAGACACATTAACACTCAGTTCCGTCAAAATTCCTTTTGGGGATAGAACTGTTTATATGTTTTTGTTCGTGACTTGCTTCATTCATTATTCTAATCCACATTTAGTGTCTTCCAGGGGAAGTTATTTGTCAGCGTTATTGTGAATTTGAATGGATACAACGGTTCGCAATAAAGAGCTAAGTGCCTATAGCTGGGTACTTAATAAATGGCATTTAATACACATTACATTACCGAACTTAAACATACTAAGTTCCAAGGCTTTGTTTTAATGGTTTCCCATATAAGCAAATGACATAATTCTGAATTCCACAAACCAAAAATTATTCTCCCAATCATCAAAATTAGATAGGAGTATTAGTGAATTTTTGTTAATTTGTGATACCTTTGAAGACAATATTTTACCAATTTTCTGATTTGTAACTTGGTTATCCAAAATGGCTGCCCGATGTAGAATTTCTCAGTTTCATGAATTTCTGAGGAGCCATTATAATCAGAGAGTTTTGTAGTGGATTACCAACAGCCTCGTTGAATAAATAATTTAATAATCCAGAGTATCAAATGTGAGACGATTGCATTCCCGTTGTGTTTGATGTGTCACTTTCTTTCAAACACTAGAACCCAATGCAAATATTTTACTTGGCAGGTTTAAAAAAAATCCCAAGAGATTCGCTGATTGAATTTTTCACCAATGAATTGATATCTCATTGTATTGCAATGTTAGTTATCCATAATTTACTGCTTCTTTTTTCAAATATATCACAGTGAAGGATTAATTGTAGAGATTCCAAGAAATGATTTATTCAAGGGCTTTGTTTTACATTATAGATTCATTCTCATGATAAGGCTTAAGATTTCATTTGTCAAATTGCTAGGTCATTGGCCTACTAATAAATCATCTGACTGATCTTTTATTAGGTTAACATCCTCTGGATTCATTTTTATTCTTTACTGATGGGATGTAGTTGTCTACATGGCAATGTGATCATGCTTGTGATCATTTTCCTCATTGATTGTAGTGGTCTTCAACTTTTTTGTGATTTCATGAAAACTGTTTTCTTTGGATTCAGGGACGCGATGCAGTTGATCAAATTTTACAGCTGATTAACTTTTTGGCAACAATTTTGTTTCCTGTTTGTCGTTTTAGAAGTTTCTTGATAAGTCCTGTCATTGTAGTTCCAGGAAAAGAGACCGTCGGATTTTCTTTAAATTGGTGTTTGGTGTTCAGCGTCCTGTGTCTGTAACAAATGGCAGATTGTGACATATTAGGTGTTAATGCTTTGTTAAATTCATGTCATGTACCTTGTTCTTTTTATTGTTAGTATTTGGAATTAAGGAGTGGGATCACATTAAACAATACATAGCCCCAATCAAAGAAATTTTAAAAAAATTATTTAGTTCTCAAATTGTTGTCAAAAAAGATCTTTATGAGTGAATAATCATTATGATAAATTGAATACTAGTAAATAGTTTTTAGCCTGTTATGGTGAGATAATGTTTTTATCTATACCACAATTTATTCCAATATTTTGACAATATCTAATCTTCTAATCTTTACTATTTATTGACTGGGATTTTGATTGGATTGTGGCAGAATAAATATTTTTGGGAATTCAATTAAAAAATTAGCAGGAGTTCATAAAAATGAAACCCAAATACTTACTGGTAACTTTAATTTTGGCACATTGTATCTTTAACTACATTTTGAGAAAACTTTGATAGATAGATTTTTTTATTTCAATCAAATCAGGCTATATTTGAAGTTGTAATTCAGTATCAATCAAGTGGTCCCCCTCCGGTATAAAAACCCAACTTGACCCAAACAACACGTAAAACAAGTTGAACTAATTGACTTCTCTACAAATTCTGTGAGATAAATCCTTTGATGGGATAGCCTATTTCATTGGTTTCACATCTTCCATTGAGTGAAACTTTCTCCCTTAGAGTCTCTACTATAGACTAGCTTGACATAACTTTTCTGATTGATTTGCTCATCGAAATTGACTAGATTTGACAGATGGAAAAATCTTTAGAACTTTTTAACCTGTTCTTTCCAGTGAATTAGATGAAGGATATTTGACATTTCTAGCTCTTCATCTTCATTTTGTTCTTGAAATAATCTGAAGGAATATTAAAGGGCAACATTTGAGATAAAATTACTAAAATAACAAATAGAGTAAAATGCACTCATATCGGCATTATTGCATGTGTTCTGTCAATTTTGTTACGAAGCATATTACTTTTTATAAGTCTCTCAAATAACGTCTTCATTATTTATTCATCACATCGTGGCCACTAAATGTAACCTCGATTTGTCATGCTGAAAATTTGTTGTTAGCAATAGGCACAGTCAAGGGATAATACAATTTGAAAAATACAAGTACACTATACAAAAACGCTAGTTATCCACAAGGGGCTACATTTTGTTTGAAGTTAGTAACACGTGAAATAGTTCATTCCGGTGCATGCGGGCTATTCGGGCACAACATAAATCTTGTAATCACATTTCTAAGAAAATTATTATCTCAACTTGAAATTCTTACAAATGCAAGACTATTGTCTGGATTTTTTATTAATAGGTTTTGGGCATGCTGGCTAAATTACATGGTGGGCATTTTGCTCTTCTAAGTACAATATTCACTGTGTGTCTTGTTCATTATTTAAAGTTGCTATCATTGGGACATTACAGAATAAATCAGGTATTTTACCCAAAAAATGCACGTTAGAAACATTAGCTTAAGCTAACTATTTGAGAATTGATCAGGGGAAAGATCTGATCTGGCGTGGTCTAAACTTGTATATTTATTTGGGCAAAATACTTTCACAGGGTATCACATGTAAATGTGTAATCAATCAAGGTTCTGATGCGTTTCCTGCGAAGAACTATGCCTACTAGCCAGGTAATGTGGCAATGTTTACCTTTGCAATGAAGTTTATATTACGCCCCAGGTTTCCAGAGCAGTGTTTTGAAAATATATCACTGGTAGTTGGGGGATAATGAGGCTGGTGGACTGATTAGGCAATTAGACAACAGTCTGATGGGCAGTTCCAAGAAAACATAGCCAGATTTGGTAATTGCGAACTAATTGTTGAATACAAGGGGTTGAAGCAATACAAGTCAATGGAGGGGCAAATCTTCTGTTGAGTCATTTGATTAAGATGGTTTAGTTCTTTTTTTAATATTATTCTTGTTGCATATTTATTATGATATGTTGGCAGGGGTCTCATTAACGGCAGGCAACAGGTGACCAGTTGTTTTCACAAAATTGCCTGTTGATTTTAGGGACTTTCCAACTTTTCCATGACTATTGTTAAATTTATGATTTCCATTAATTTTGCCTGTTGTTTTTCATTTATTTAGCCTGTTGTGAGAAATTCTAGTGAAACCCCTGTGTTGGTATATCAGGGTTTTTCTATAGAAAACATGTCTACACAAATTATGTGCCCACTATCACGGTGTTATAGCATGACAGATACGACAAGGCAATTGGCCAAATTATGCGGTAACGATAACAAAAAATGGCGGACGGGAAAGACAGCATGTCCTCTTTTTCGCCTGTAGGCAAGATTCACAGATAAGCTTTCCTTTTCAACTAGTTCCATTCGGTGATGCATATGTGAATGGTTTTAAAGATTGAGTTAAATCTGTCGTGTGGTCTACAAGAAGCAGAATATAAGCTGTAAACCTACCCAGCTGAGATTTCGAAGTTCATAATTTTTAGTCCTTTTTCGTGTTTTCTCAGTATATGTGCCTCAGAGCCACTCAAAATACTAACTGTACGTAAACTGTGCATAAACAAGCCATAAAATGACAAATGCAGAACAGAAATGTGGTAAATATTGTAGATAATAAGGTTTCAATCGCAAGGTCGTTAGACAGATACGTATGTATTGCATGCTTTTTTATGGACAGCAACGCATTGTATTAGTTTTACATTAGATGTTAGCGGACGGTTACATGCAAGTTCCTGTCAAGTCAAGGTCCCTAGATGGATAGCTCTCTATGTGTGAACTGCCTATATTTGTTTTCAGGACTCGCAAGAGACGCTCTTGCTTGAGCCTCTATAGGGCAAGGAAAAAATAGCGAAAGCCAATGAAAGTGAAAATGATTGTAATGAAGAGGCAAAGGAAGAAATTAGTAACAACGAACAGGCGACGGAAGAAAACAACTCCAAATTAATTGATGATGTCATAAGTGACATTAGACATTACCATTATTACAAATCATATTCAGCTGTTTATGTCACCATCTTCATAATAGTACAATAACGTCATTTCTGCGGGCAATATGAAATATTGGACCAAGGGCCGCTGGCCCAAGGTCCAATATTTCACTATTTTGCCCGCAGAAATGACGTTATTACCATTATTACCACCGTTAATGCCCAGGGCTGAAATAGCAAATTTGAAATAGAAAATCTTACGCACTGAACGATATCACTTTTCCCGGGAAACATAGCCGGGCGAATAATATCATTATTGCCCGACTAAAGTCATTAACGCCCGACACAATATTGCTCACGTCAATATAGCAATTTAAATGCCTTCTCAACTAGTACTAAAACCCCTAGAACAGGCCCTGCAAGGTGGTAATAATACGATTTCATCTATTATAGCTTACAAAACTCAAATCCGGTTGAAAAACATTTCAATTTTGGATCACAAGCGATATGAAATGATTCGGTTTTACATATATGAACGAGGTTCGCGTAACTGTCTATCAATTTTTGGCGTATCCGCAAATTCAAAATACATTATTATGGCTTGAGTAGAACATATTAAGTGGTTTACAATGCTTAATTGGCTTTGTATGATCGTATGTAGGTTACATTTATATACACCAAGGTTGTTGCGCAATGTAGAGCATGTCCTAACGAAGAAAAGAAACAAATTACTAAATTTTATGAAGTTTTGAATTTCAAACTCGACAGTTTTTCGCTTATTTCATGTTATCCATGGGCGTCGATTTGCAAAGACTACGATCAAAATAAACATTACTGAATGCATCCCCGAATGCGACGCTTACATAAACCTTTCATGCTTTTATTGATACGCAGTAGTAGAACATAATGCACCTACCTTAGCTTTCTGTTTCATCGTGGCCATTTTATTGGATAAATCAGTGATCGTATACGACTAACCTCGTTTTCAGAGGTGGCGTATCTGTCATGCTATAACACCGTGACTATGGTCATCTTAAAGGGATATATTTTTGGCCCATCGTCACTTAATTAAGCAACAGTTTTGCTCAGATTCAGCTCAATAATATCTATTTTTTATCTTTGTTTGGCAACCCTTCGAGTAGCATGTATATACAAGAAAATTGGTATATTAGTATGTATGTTTTCTTGACCTCGTTGCAATTCCTTATATCCAGGAAGATTCTGCTGAGTGACAATGAAGACAAATCGCTGTCAATTTCCGACTCCCAATACAATATCATTTAGAACACTCCATAAAGTTAATCCCGTAAATTGAATTAAACTGCCTATTGAGATTGCAATTCAAATGGACTGGACTTATCCGGGATCACAGTCTCCTTAATTGGCTATTCAGGAACTAATATCTATATTATTGATCTGATGAGACCATTCTTTACACCCTCATGTATTAACGTTGAAATAATCATCCCTGCAAGCTTACAATTGAGTTGTTAGGGTTGTATAATCAAACTTATCGGAAACGTTTTTATGTGATTGAATAGGTAAGTTAAAAGGCCTCGTCATTTACCCTAAGGAGCAGAAGCTAGTAGTAATAATATTCTCTGAATAGGATAGATAAATTGATCTCCCCAGCATTAATGCAAGTAGCAAGGAACCCACCTTTGATTTTAAAAACAGGCTTGCACCCACCTGAAAATCCATTCGCACCCACTTGAAAAGAGAGAAATCATGAAAAATTGTGAATTGTGAAAATGGTGGTAGCGTGGTATGTTTGAAATGGTTTATGACCCAGGCTGTCACTGGTATTGGTCGTAGGGGCGGGGCTACTAAACTGTATAATATAGACTGTACTACGAAGAGGATGATTTATAAGGTTGTTTTCTGAAAATACATGTTTAAAGGGTGACGCATATCGTTTAGCAAATCGAACGCTCGTTTCTGGTGTTGCTCACCGTTTAGTATAAAAGGCCCGATCCCGGAATAATACTCAAGGGTTCACAGGTTCGAGGTCGTTGTGTCAACACCTCTAACTGTTATATAGCATAAGTATATTATAGATCGTCACACATTTATAAAAGGATGATTTTTATTTTGATAAATCAATTCCACATTTATGGGTGAAGTTTCAGGATCTTCTATTTGTGTACAATAAGGAAAAATTGGCATCTAAATTTCCCCATAACGTAATAGCACACAGCTTGGCATATGAAATATCCTACAAATGAAACAAAGCAAGATAAACCAGTTTCTAATACAAGGATTTATATTGGCTGTTGTACATGTATTCTTTGAACGCAATCACTCTTTGGATAACGTTTTCAAAATCATTATAAACGGATTACTTAATCTCAAAGACAATTTCAATAAACTGGATTTTACAGAACTCCCCTTATTTCTTAAAAATGGACTGATCCAGATGATTCGCCTGGAGCCGCCATATTGTTTTTATACGGGATGTCAATCGGAACCCTTTAAAGGGAGTGCATTTTTGCAAGTCTTTATTAATCTTTGCCTCATATAGGCGATAGAAAGGTACTGAGAGCCCAAAACTATTTAAAAATGAAAATAACCCCTCATATGCCTTTATAAGTAGAGTCATTGAAAAGGACTGAAAAATTTACGCTCTTGACGTTTTAGAGGTAACATACTCCATGATTACTTAGAATTTTCAGTCTTTGACAATGATTCTACTTTAGAATTGATTAACCATATTCATAACATAGACACAACCTCATATACATATATATATTATTATACATACATATTATGATAACAAAAACGTGTATACTTTCTATTTACAGACACTACTTACTGCTATCTCAATGAGTGCCATTGCGACAAATGGCATAGTACCAGCTGGGGGGTCATATTTTATGATCTCCCGGCAACTTGGGCCAGAGTTTGGGGGCGCTGTAGGCATACTCTTCTACTTGGGTACAAGCTTTGCCGCAGCTATGTATATAATAGGAGCAGTAGAAATATTGCTTGTAAGTAAACATATCTTTTTACTGTTCTTTTCCTACTGTTTACATGAAGAGTGCCAACTCTGTTGTTCACTTACCATCTTAGTAACACTTACCATTCTCTTCAAAGTAGATTTTGATTATGAACTACTTTCAAATAATTTTAATATACCTATACGCGCTAACTTTTAACGTGCGAAATATTATATTTATAAATATTATATCTCTGCGTTGGAGAGTTCAGTTTCGTGGTACAACTTTCTCAACATCCAGGCACTTTCCCATTGGAATAACATTGGCTGTGTTTTTCAATGACGCATTGTGACTTTATTAGAGGTTTATCATGAATTATATTTGCACATACGATAGATATGATCATTATAAAGACATTTGACAAGTTTTTATTAAAAAATATATTCACCAGAATCGTCAAAATCCTAAGTTTAAAATTCAAGTGACGTCACAGATTTCCCGGAAGTTGCTCAGTCCCGGAACTTGCTCAGACGCCATAGAAAAAATAATCGAAGCAAATTGAATTTCCATCTTCTTTTCTAATTATTGTCTGGATTATAGAATATTATTATACATATGTACTAATGTTGGATCGGGACAATGCCTATGACGTTGTGTTTTGCGGACCAATAGAAAATTGTCCATTTTATCGTGTTGCATTGCGGGAAATATTTATGTTAATGCCCAGTAATTTCCTAACGCGAATAGGACTATTGTGAATCTTATTACTGTCTTTTGAGTTAATTTATTTATCTATGGATGGGCTAAAGGTTACTCTGCTATGATCTAAGTTTGGCAAATTCAAGGATAAGATTCTTGCATGAGCAACTTATTAAAGGCTTTATGAATTATTTGCACAGGCAAGAACTTATGACAGGACATTTAAAAGATATACTGGTGAAGTGGTGCAGTTGGTGTTCAACGGTTGATGTCTGCAACAAATGGCAGGTGGTGAGATTTTGCATGTTAATGCCTTGTATTTGTTTATTCCAGAAATACATAGCGCCCATGGCTGCAATCCCTGGGCTGGGGCCTATAACAGATGACAGCGCAGCATTTAATAACTATAGAATATATGGGACATGCTTGCTTTTACTTCTGGGTCTCTGCGTCTTTCTGGGGGTGAGATTCGTCAGCAAGTTTGCGACAGTTTCCCTAGGTTGCGTCCTCCTATCTATTTTAGCTATATATGTTGGAATTTTTGTGTCTGCCGCAGACAACAGTCGTAGCCCAGAGTAAGTACATGTACTGTAGAAGTCAAGTTATATATACTGCATGTGATTACTTTTTTTGCTGGTAGTTTGGAAACATAGTACTTGACAGTCATATAACTCAGTGTTCAAAAACAAAGGTTATGAGATTAAAAGCTTTTACTGAAATAAATACGAAACAAATAATGTGAAGAAAATTTTTCAGCTCAATTTTATGCCTTATTTCATTGGTATCAAAATATATTAGAACTGTACTCCAATAGATATACCCTCTAAGGATTAAAAAAGAAACTAAAAGACTAATTGTAAATATTATCTGATTTAACTTAAACATAACTTAACCTTATTTTCTTTAAAGATGATTCTAAAACTGGTTAATATCTTAAACTTTTAATTCCTATGTATACTATGTTTAGAATGAATACAAGACTAAAATCAGATTTATCTTTTACAGAATTTGTTTGTTGGGCGATCGGTTATTAACATTTGAATCAGTTAGTTTGGATGGAGTCATGTATTGTACAAAAGATGCCAAGATTAGTAACACCAGTAACACAACCGCACCTCTATATAGTAAATGGTGCAAAAAGGTGAATGGAACTGATGTGTGTGATGATTACTTTACCAATAATGAAGCTCACACTATAAAGGGTATTCCTGGCTTAGCAAGCGGCAAGTTCATAGGTAATGATTTATTTTACATATTTTTTTATTATGACTTCATTATATCATCATCAAGAATTGTTGTAGCCACCATTTTTTGTCTGTAACTGTAACAATCATTACACTTTTCCAGTTGTAGACATTTTGTCATTTTTTTTAATAAAATGCCCTGTTTGTATATTTTGTATTGATTATGCTGAAATTGTTGTCCTGAAACATTATAGTATTCTTTGTTGATACAATTTAAATCTCTCTTCTAAACTGTGCCAGCTAATATGAAGGCTCACATGATGGATGCTGGAGAAAAGGATGAGAGAGCCAGTGGATTATTAGATGAACCTGTCTTTGTTAATGGTAACAAAAGAGAAGAAATGGCTCTATGTTTTTAGGAGATTTAAATTGGTTGTATGATAAGTTATTTTGATACAATCCTAACAAAGATCACCCTGGTTAGACATGATTCAGTCCATCTATTTGAATGCATAGGGTCTAACCAGTGTGAATATCAAAGTTCTGATGACGGGAGAGGTTTTTTTACGATGACGGGAGAGATGGTATCAATGGCTTTATGTTTTAGGAGATTTTAATTGGTTGTACAATATGATTTTATAATACTTCACCAACCAACATCATCCTGGTTAGACATGATGCAGTCCGTTTATTGGAATGCATAGGGTCTAGCCAGTGTGGATATCAAGGTTCTAATGACTGTAGAGATGGGTCTTTATTTTCATATTATCAGTCTATTTCACAGCCAAGCACTGTAATAGAATTGCATTGAAGAGTCTCTTTGGGATTCTGTAGTAGACTTAAGCCTTAGTCACATTTGCTCTATATTTTATGCTACATATTTCTCTTGACTTTGGGAAGCTACACTCTCCGTTTGGTTGCCGTAGATCAAATGTGACTCAGGCATTACACACAGTAAAACCTGCCTGAGTGAACTAAGTTGGAATTACATACTCTAAACATTTAAAACTGTTAATAAATTCTGTTTTGATATTTTGCCATAGCTTCCCTTTAATATGGAGACTAAAATTTTTCAAATGTCAGGTCTTGCTGTATTTTAATCACATGATATGCCTTATTTGGAATTCTCATTATGAAGTTAATTATAACACATGCATTTGTTTCAGTTTATACGATACCATTGATATAATATATTGATACTGAACAAGCCAGTTATTTTCATTATTACTGGATATTGTTTTATTTTGTTGACAGTGGGATATTATATACAATATATTAATCGATCATTAAACATATCCTTTATTAGATAATTCAATAAAAAGTAATTTATTTTGATTAATTGAACATGAAAATACTACATTTATGCCATCTATTTCTATTTTTCTTCACTTGTGATTCCATATGAACATTTATTGATCAATACATTGGATCAAATACAGGCCTCCTAGACTTCTACCCACACGATCATCAGTTTGACCTCACGGACTACATTCCTTCCACCCAAACCACAGTTCTCACAACACAAATACCGTGAAAACCGTGGTTCACTTGGAAGGACATAGCTTGTGAGGTCGGAAAAGATGATTACGTTTGTGGAAGTCTAGGAGGTCTGAAATACATTGCAAGAATTTTATATCTATGAGGTTTATGTACTAGGAGGTTTTGGATATAGGGTTTATCCTGAAGGAAAGATATTTTTCAGATGCACAATTTCCCTGAGCCACTAACCCTATATCTGAAACCGACCATATATGACAGATGTATCCCATACCTGCTAATGTTCTGGAGACATCCTATATCTGAAACCGACCATATATGACAGATGTATCCCATACCTACTAATGTTCTAGAGACATCCTATATCCGAAACCGACCATATATGACAGATGGATCCCATACCTGCTAATGTTCTGGAGACATCCTATATCTGAAACCGACCATATATGACAGATGTATCCCATACCTACTAATGTTCTAGAGACATCCTATATCCGAAACCAACCATATATGACAGATGTATCCCATACCTACTAATGTTCTAAAGACATCCTACTAATGTTCCAGAGACATCCTATATCTGAAACCGACCATATATGACAGATGTATCCCATACCTACTAATGTTCTAGAGACATCCTATACCTGAAACCGACCATATATGACAGATGTATCCCATACTTACTAATGTTCTAGAGACATCCTATATCTGAAACCGACCATATATGACAGATGTATCCCATACTTACTAATGTTCTAGAGACATCCTATATCTGAAACCGACCATATATGACAGATGTATCCCATACCTACTAATGTTCTAGAGACATCCTATATCTGAAACCAACCATATATGACATATGTATCCCATACCTACTAATGTTCCGGAGACAATCTACCTTCTTAGATTCTATTTAAATTTTTTAAATTTTTTTTTCACTTTTTTCAGAAAATTTTTTGAAATAGTGAAAAGTTTGAATCAGTATTATAAAACCTTCTCAATTCAATATTACGTTTTCAAAAAGTTGAACTTAAGCATACCATGATATTTATATTTTGTTCCAGAGAATCTTGGGAACACATACAGCACCCAAGGAAACCTGTATGGCTCTAATGTAGTGGGAAATCGGGACAGAGGAGAAATTATTGCAGATATCACATCGTCATTCATGGTCCTACTAGCAATCTTCTTCCCATCATGCACTGGTAGGTTACAATTACTTAATATTAAGACATAAAAAGGATTCTCATAGATCAAGGAAAAGAAAAATCGGCAGTGTATTATTCTTGGCTGATATTTTCCCAGGGATCCCCATAATAGTTAATGATATTTCTACAGTTAATCGCTGCAATTGTGACAAGTGTTTGCCCAAGCTCTTCAAATGTATCAAGCGTGAAAACTCGATCTTCAGATCCAGCTATTTGCAGCCATTGTTCTTCAGCCTCTTTTTTTATTCTCGCCTGTTTAAGGGCTTTTTCGCTATCTTGTCTGAGCCTGGAGAACTTTTCACTTGGTAAAGCAATAGTATATGTCTGAACCTGCCTCTTAGTCCTTAATTCCTCTGCAATTTCCCTGACTCTGATCTTTGCTGCTTTGACTTTCTCATCCCTTCCATAATGGGTCTGTCCATCTGTCGTCACAATAAGGACATTCTTCATCTCTGCCCTTTCTCCATGCGTTTCTTGAAAATAGGTGTCTCTAACAGCTTCCAAAGCCAAGTCTGTCGCCGTTATACATTTGCTTTCAGTCATTACCATCCTGTCGAAGTTTCGAAGTGTGAATGGTTTATTGCGACCTTGTTTAAGCGTCTGTATATTATGTATCTCTTGACCAAATGTTAATCCACCAATTTGAGTTTCAACGGGATGTATCGTAAATTTTTTTATCAAGTCTTTCATAAAATTTTTCACGGTTGTTTTGTTTTCCTCAGATATCGAACAGCTTATGTCGAGGGCAACCACAATGTCAAGGCCGCAGAATTTCAGAGCTGGAATCACAATGTTATTTTTATGTTATCTCTGAAATTATTGTTTAGTGATCTCGCTGCATCATGTTGAACTCTGAAAATTACATGCCACCCTGTTGAGATCAGTTCGCACCCGGACAGAGAGTTAAATATTGAGATATTGTACCCCAAAAAATGATTGATTTTGATGAAGCATCCTTTTTATTAACTGATTTATTACAAATGATAAGTATTTTTGAAATGGCAATAAAATTAAAATTTCAGACTACTTCATTTTTGATAAGACATAGACTATGTTAAAGACATAGATACCAAAACTAGCAGATTTGAAATAGGTGAGGTTAGATGAAAGGATTAATTCTTATTCTATCTTATTCAAAGATTTAGAGACAAAATATCAAATTCTTAAAGGTAACTCACCTCCTTGATCAAATCCTACTGGAAAAACTGGAAATCGTAAGCTGTTAGGATCGCATTGTTCATATACTGGACACCAAACTTTCTCTGGACACGCCACATATTCTTTAATGCATAGATTTTTCAAACACGGCCATTCTCGGGTTGGTATTCCGATGCTTCCCATTGCTACGAAGGCATTTCCGACTCCAAGTCCTTCAGGGCATTTACGACGTTGATAATATGAATTGACACACTCGTAGTATTCTAATTGTAGCTCTCTCCAGTCGCCAGGACTGATGTAGCGTTCTTTTCTCTGGTTGCATCCTGTGAGATAATAAGAAATATAATATAAACAATTTCAGTAACAATGACACGATGACACTAATCCCAACTGAAAATAAATTTTCATTTGATTTATGCAATCATTCAAACTTAAAAAACAACTTTATATTTAAAAAAAAAAATTTCACAACATGAAATGCTGTTTAGTTGATTGCGCTTTAGTACTAAGGTATTTCTGATCCTAGAAAATACCAAAATTGAAATTATTTCAATAGTAAAAGTATATTATAATATAATATTAAGCATATTATTAAGCAATAATTAAGTAATTAAGCAATAATATAAGCATATTATAAATAATATAAATAAGATTTAATCTATTAAAACAATATCTTGTGAAGTATATTTCAACTTACAATAAAACCTGTAAAACCTGTTGAACTCAATCCTAAAAGTAATTGAACATTGTAACTGTTGAACTCAGTCCTAAAAGTAATTGATCATTGTACAATGTACATGTAATGGTTCAACTCAGTCCTAAAAGTAATTGAACATTGTAACTGTTGAACTCAATCCTAAAAGTAATAACCCAGATGCGAGTAGAAATAATCTTGATTTACGTAATTAAAAATTCAAAATTCAGTCAAAGTAATATCATATTTGAAATCTACATCTAAAATTACATCTATAAATGTGGTTTTAAAAAGTGTTTATCAACTTTGAAAAATTAATTTTCTTTGAAAATGTGACTTCCAGCTCGGGGAGATTCCCCATAGACCACATGCTATAAAATCACAAAAAATGAAATATCTTTTCTTTTAGTGGACAGATAATATTTTGCTTTACTGGACATATTTTTATTAGTATAAGTATCAGACACATAAGGGTTATATGAAAATTGAGCCACTTAAATTGATAATATTCAAGTTTAAGGGAACTTTCTTATATACCTGCCATGTTAATTGACCCGAATCAGCCACCTGGTGGTGAAACTGGTAACTACCTACTCGCATTTGGGTAATTGAACATCGTAACTGTTGAACACAGTCCTAAAAGTAATTGAACAAAGTAACTGTTGAACTCAGTCCTGAAAGTAATTGAACATCGTAACTGCTGAACTCAATCCTAAAAGAAATTGAATATTATAACTTTGTAATCATACATGTCAAAACTCACTTAATATGTTAAAGATCTTTTTATCCTCATCTGTTTTACTTTTGTTATTTACACTTTGTCCTTCCTCCACTTCTCTCGGAAATCTTCCACATATTACTTCCGATATTAAAATCAGTTGAAGTGCGATGTAAAATAGTACCATTTTCATTCTGTTGTGTCAGGTCGTAAGCGAGTTAAACAAATGTCTTAATATTTCATTTAGCCTTTATATATGAATGGTTTTTAAATATAATAAACCATAATAATCTTTGTATTTATTGTCAAGTTTGTCTAAGATTTTATCACTATTTTCTTCCAGTGCTTTATGTGCATTTCAATCACAGGCTATAAGTGAATTTTGGCTGTGCAAACAGGGGATGTGTTTTAAATTGCAAAATAATAAAATTATTTCAAATCGATGATTTATATTTCCGATTTCTTATTTATTTTAACATTATGGTCTTTGGCCTTGATCATGAGACGCAATCAATTACAATACAACACGAAGAATGTGTTTGGATAGCCAAGGAGTGAAAGCTGATTTATTTCAGAGATGATTACGAGAGAAACATTAATTAGATAACATTCTTATTCACGTTGGTTTATCAAATCGAACCCACGGCAACGGACTGCGACTCATTTATCTTTTCACCGCAGTAAAACCCCAATATGAATGGGACATATTATAATCTCCTGTTGTGTGGTTTATATGAAGCAATGAATAATCCCAAATCTAGACTTACCCATCCTAAGAAGTTTAGAGTATGGAGCTGCCATTTTTGAAGGATATAATTAGGGGTGAGACGAGTCGATAAAATCCGATTCGAGTCAGAAAATGACGATTCGAGTTTCGAATCCGTTTCGAGTCATAAAGTGCGAACAACATCGCTTTTGACCGTTCGTATTTTTAATGCGTCAATGGTGGAAAGCCGGAAATATAAACAAACACAATTCGTCGTAAGTTTATTCTGATTTTATTACATATATTCTTTCATTTATGTGTACATACAATATAATAATTTAATACAAGCATATCCAAGTCATTGAAACTTATATATTCAACGCAATATCGAGTAAAAACATGCATATTGACAATTTTTTTATTTTTTCGAATTTTTTTCTCAACTCGAAAATGATTCGATTCATCAACTTCGACTCGATTCTACTTGACTCGAAGCCCCAAACCCGCGAGTCCTCGACTCATCGGGTTGTCGTCTCACCCCTAGATATAATAGATAAAACTTCAATCGTTATATACACAAAAATTCAGCTGAATTGAAGAGTATTAAAGAAAGTTAGAGCATATAGTGCATTACTTCTGGGACAACCCTCGTAATGCATTTTATCCTATGCCAAGTAGAGTTTTAGGGAGATAAGTTGGTAAGATACATCCTGTATCCTGATTTTGAGGTTTCCATATCCAGAACCTCCATATCTCCCGCTTCGCTGCATATCTTCCCGCTTCCGGTAATGCAATAAAATGACTTTGCATATGAATGATTTGTTTGTATATTTTTACACCTTGTAGTATTGAAATGACCATATGCCCCTAAAAAATCAACTTGGTATAGGATAAAGCAGTTATGTACGGTCGGTTTGGATACAGGGTTCATCCCTCGTGAGATATGCACATCTACCTTCGGTCCCTACGGTCCCTCAGGTAGATATGCATATATCCCTCTGGATAAACCCCATATCCAAAACCTCCCAGTACATAACCCTTATGTACGAGTAGTCTCCTGCTATGGAGATATAAATCACTGTGAAATTTATATAGAAAATTAAAGATATTCATACAGGTCATTCAAATATTTGAGAGGAAATGAATAAAATATGGATGAGAAGATGGAGATCTTCAACATATATTACAAGGACTTAAAGTAACTTTCTATGATTTCATCTAAAAATTAAAACCCTTGGAAATACTAAATATGGTTTAAATGCCATATATAAAATTTATTTCAGAAATAGTGTGGATCAAAATGAAAAAAAACAAAAATAAAGAATAAAAATATATTCCACCCATGGGATTTGAACTCAGATCTTTTGGAATAAAAGCCTGCTTGAGTCCTAAGCCCTAACCACTACACCACAGTGCCAAAGCTTTCTGAGAGAAGAAATTCTTTATCTATATAATCATGGATGAAAAAAGTCTTATTTAAATGGCTAAATTTCTTAAAAATGATCAGAATTACTACTAATAACAACATTTTGCATGTCTAAGTAAGTATTATGATCTACATTTAGGATAAATGTTGTTTTATTCAGTTTTCATTTTGGGTATGACTTCCTGTCAAAACAGTGTTAAAAATGCAGGGCTCAACAAAAATTTTCAATTAGAAAATGATATATATCCTTTGATCAGCTGTTTTTGGCACCTGGACTCATCCTACTAGAAAGGTAAGAGCATTTTCTTGAGACATATGGCTCGAAATCTCAAATTTCTCCTTCTAAGTCATAGAAAGACACTTTAACCGTTGATACTGAAGATAAATAGAGATTATCCTTTATGAGGGTCAGGATAATGAGATTATCTCGAGGTCAATATGATATCTTTGCAGTAAGCTTTAACAGGCTTTCCATCTTTTATATATCTTTTATCACCTCTTAACATGTTAGTCTCTGCAACATATGGGTCTCATTGATTTTTATATACATGTATACCAATTATGAATTTGGAAACTTTGATAGTTTTGAATTGTTTTTTTTAGCTTTTTATTTTCAGAGTGGTAGAATTCTAATTTTGCACCCCAATTGATGAATAAACACAAAAAGACAGGATGATCTAATCATCCATTCAACTTTTGAACATTCAACAGTTTTTTTCATATCCGTATTCTTCTCATCAATAGCAGGTTATTTTCAAGATGACATGACAGTACAGAAACCTGAATGACATCATCAAGAGAAACATAAAAAACAACTCCCAATAAATAAAGTCAATTGATTCATATATGGTATATCCTGTATATCTTGATGTAAATGATCTTATTACTCTATTTTGGCTTGTTGAGTGAATAGTATAAATTGTCTGTCAGTCCACATGTCAATAAATTTTGTGTACATCCATAGTTATTATCATGTCGGCCAGTTATTGCCCAAGTCTTCTAGATTTTGCGGTATTTTGACATTTAGTTATTCTTCATTTTAGAAAGTAACCCTTTGTATGCAGAGTTGAATATAATGAAAACTGAATCATTTTTACTCAGAATTCAAGTTTAAAAATAATTTTATGAAAAGCATAGTCCATAGTAATTAATTGAACCAGTCCATAGTAATTAATAGAACTAGTAATTAGAATTAAAACACTCGGTGTAATAACATATTAAATCTGAATTTGATGATATATACAATGGACAACTTGTTAGTGAATTGTTTACAAACAAGTCTATAATTCAAAAGTTATAACTGAAAAAGATGAGATTTTTATTGAAAACACAGAAGTAAATAGACTGATCTGATGATTAAATGATACATTAACTGTTTCTGCATTGATATATTATGTACATTCAGACAGCAATTATAATGTTATGTTAATTGGTTATGCAAAATTAATTTTATGATATGAAATTACATTTATATACGGTACTAATTTTTTCAAGTAAATGGCCTCATGGTGATATTAATCTGTTCGTTAAGGACACTGAACTTATAAACTTTGTTATGCAAACATACTTCATGAGTTATTAAAGGTAGCATGAAACATTTGTAATTGTTGTTAAAGGTTGGCATGAATGTGGAACTGTCAGAAAATGCGACCAGAATACTGTAAAGCCTGTATAATCCCATATATTCCAACAAAAAGTGTTGTTATAAAGGTTTTCTGATAAAAGTGTTCTTATAAAAGTGTTTTTATAAAAGTGTTCTACTTATGAAGGTGTTCATATAAATGTGTTCTTTTAAATGTGATCTCATAAAGGTGAAAGGTGTTCTACTGATAAAGGTATTCTTCTTATAAAGTTGCTCACTTGTAAAGTTGTTCTTCTTATAAAGTTGTTCTACTTATAAAAGTATTCTTCTAATAAAGGTGTTCTTCTTATAAAACTGTTCTTCTTATACGTAAAAGTGTTCTTCTAATAAAGATGTTCTTGTAAAGGTGTTCTACTTATAAAGGTATTCTTCTTATAAAGGTGTTCTTATTAAGGTGTTTTTTCTTATGGAGGTGCTCTACTTATAAAGTATAAAACCATTAAGAAATAATACATCACACTATTTTCTTTCTTTTTTTGACTGCTCCGGGTACCCTCAACATGAGTTGACATGGTTACCATAGAACACAGAATATTAGATGTAACATGTTATTTTGTGTATGTAGATCAACATTCTGTGAGAAAACGAGCCTAAATCATTTATATTTACAAAAGTTAGAGCACTTTTGATCTTACTTTATGGTCACCCTGAACATGTCATTGATGATATGCCAAATTTTATTCCTTGGTAGGAAATAACATATATAATGAGAAAACTTGAGCAATATTTCATATTCTTCTTAAAGTATAAAACTCATATGTATTCCCTGCAAATAACCTCTTTTCTGTATAATGCTATCTCTTGATGATACATATTTTTCTTATAATGAAATCAACCCCATATTCTTCCCCGTAATGAAAATAATGTATATTTGAACTAAAACCATGAAATATCACATTCTTCTTTTGGATAAAACCCATATATGGACCCTCATAGTGAATAACTTTCACTTATATCTACTTGCAGGTATCATGGCTGGTTCAAATAGGTCGGGTGATTTAGCAGATGCCTCCAAGTCCATCCCCACTGGAACCATTGCAGCTATCCTTACTACGTCCTTTGTCTGTATCCTTTATATAATGTCCAATCGTGGCACACCATTTGAGTGAGAGTGGGAAGTTTACTATATTTTATATTTGAACATGAATATTTACTACCTTCGGTCGTTCGGGTTACAGAAAACGTTTGCGTCTAGCCCTGTGGGGTGTATTAGACGATATTACCCCTGCTTTTCGGTCTATATTTCTTAAATAATGTATTTGAAGGATGGGAAAGCAACATTATATATTTTGTATCATTATTATTATATTTGAGGGGGTGGAAAGTTTGTAATATCAACGTAATGTCAGATATGCACGGCTGACTTTCAAGATAAATTCATCGAGAAATTAAGAAAGGAAAATATAATTTGGATCAAAAGTTTTTTTGTTATCTTCTTTAACATATCTCAGATTTATCAAGTGTGCTATTTTTTGGAGCTTCTATAGAGGGCGCCCTTCTCAGAGACAAGTAAGTCCATCGTTAAAGAAGTATTTGATCCCACATACTTCTAGTTGTTATATTAATGCCTCAGTCACATTTGATCTATGGCAACTGTACGGCGGTAGCTTCCCAAAATCTGAGAAATATGCAGCATAGATTATAAGCAGTATGATGTAGATTTTCAATTGCGAATTTGTGAAGCTATCAGGCCGCCATAGACCAAATGTGACTCAGGCTTGATATGCAAGCAACTGGTTTTAAAATATTATCAATGAGGTATATGTTAGAATTCCAAGTCATTTTCATGGAAAACACATGTATACACCACACTGTAATGTCAAATATGTGAATTGAAATTTGAAAATTTATATTATAATTTCAAAGGGATCTGAAGCTGATGATGTGAAATGTTTTATAGTAAAGTATTATAGTTATTACTATTTTATATGATACGTGAGGTCACAATAATAAGAACAATTGATTTACCGGTCTATAATCAAGTATGTACTATAAAATTGCCGCTAAATTTCATAAATGCAAATAGTTGTTTTTCTGGTTTGTTTATCATATAATATTAGAATCCTAACAAAGACCTCGATTTCTATGAGAGTTTGATCTTTTAAGAATGAACAGAAAAAAATGTTCAGTCATATATTGTGCCATAAATTATAGAATCTTGGTCTTTATTCCTTAAATATTATGTAAATTATTCCAGGTTTGGAGAGAGTATTGGTGGAGGCCTGTCTATTGCCCAGTTAGCCTGGCCAAATGAATGGGTCATTTTGATTGGTTCATTCCTGTCCACCCTCGGTGCGGGGTTACAAAGTCTTACAGGTATGATGTTTTCCAGGTTTCCTTTATTTAACATATAGAATATGAACAAGGGTACCTTGGTTTATTTCACCATTATTTGATGAAATTAATCCAATTCAGTACCGAGGCTCAAATAATACATTAAAGTACAATGTATATTCAAATTCAAATTTTATCCCGAGTCTTGATAGATGTTTTAATAGATGTTGTACTATAGTATTAGATTGGATCGATCATAAATTTGAGAAAATCAAATAACGTCACAGCCCCTTGGTAAACAATCATAATTCATTGAAATTATGTTAAAGCAAATTGTGAACTATAGAACAGTAAATTGATTTAAAAAGTAAATGCAAATAAGAGATTTATAAAATTTGCCATACTATTTTATGGTTTATTACATGCATTGTTGTTGTGTATATTTACTTGCGTGATATTAATTTAATATACAAAAATAAACAGAAATGATAGTGAAGCATTATGATACATACATGCATGGTAAATTTATGTTTTCAGGCGCGCCCCGTTTACTACAAGCCATTGGTCAAGATGGTGTGATTCCAATCCTGAATGTCTTTTCTGTAACTACTAAGAATGGAGAGCCTTTTAGAGCACTTCTCCTGACAGCTTGCATTACAGAACTTGGCATCCTCATAGGCAATCTAGATTTAATTGCTCCAATTATTACCATGTAAGTATCATGGATACTCTTGGCCTCGTGAAGTGTAACTCTAGGCTTTAGGGGGTATAACTAGGCCTCAGGGGTAAAACTGTAGGCCTGAGGATTGTAAGTCTCAGCCTTTATATATTTCAGTCTCACCAATGTTACCAATCTTTCCAATTTCATCATAAACTGTATTTTTTTTAAAAGTACACTGTTATATGTAATATGTAGATTCTAACCATGCGGAAAGATATTATTTGGGATAGAGATTAGGGTTGGTTAGATTAAAAGGAATTCATTTTGTAATTTCCATTTGACGTGTGGATGATATCCCCATTAGTGGATCTTCCACTCCATGTATTTAATAACCTGCACTTTTAATTGAAATACAAATAAATAATATAGAACATATTTTACAGGTTCTTCCTCATGTGTTACGGGTTTGTCAACCTGGCCTGTGCCCTGCAGTCTTTATTGAAGACACCAAGCTGGAGGCCTAAATTCAGATTTTACCATTGGTAGGTACATTTACTGTATAATTGCCGAAGTTCTCTTAATGCCTGAGAAACAATTTTCCTATAATGTAGCCTATAACTGAAGCCTCCTGTGTTGTGGAATATTTGATCATGAATATATGCTGTACTTTGTATTTGCAGGACTCTATCCATGTTGGGCATCGGTCTATGTCTCGTCATAATGTTTATCTCTAGCTGGTACTACGCCCTGGTAGCAATAGCCATAGCAATGGGAATATACAAATATATTGAATATAAGGGGTAAGTAGTATGCAAGCAATTGCCAGGATAGGTACTTGTAAAACTCGGTCTAACCATGAGTTTTCGTTCTCATGACTTCAAAGCTTTTATTGTCTTTATTCACGAGAAGATGTGGTCAATTTGGTTATTGGCAAATATAATCGAATCAAAGATTCTCAAACTTGAGAACACTATTAAATATTTTGAAACTGTTCTTGAATTTGCACTAAAATCATAACATCCGAGGTCTGTAACATTTTAACAGTTACTATCAATTGGAGCATGGTTAAACTTTTGTAGATTGATTTTGGTCCTAAAGTTGTATTCTTTATTGAAATTCTGTGGGAAGGAATAGGGAGATGTCAACAATGTATGGCTTTGAGGTCTTAATATTTGCCCTATAACGTTATTGCTATATTATTTAGTGCTGAGAAAGAGTGGGGAGATGGTATACGTGGTCTGGCTATGTCAGCTGCCCGTTACTCTCTACTGAAACTAGAAGAGGGACCACCACATACAAAGAACTGGAGGCCTCAGATTCTTGTACTTATGAACCTAGATGACAATATGCAACCGAAACATACCAAGATGTTGTCCTTTGCCAGTCAGCTCAAAGCAGGTATGGAGATTCATGTTATAAGCATTCAATTCATTGTTAACCTCGTTCACATATATATGACATTTAAGGTGAACATACAGCCTACTCTACACCCTGAAGATAAGCCATCTCCATGTTAAAGCTCTCTAAGAGTAGATGAATTAATACATTGGTACATATACAGGAACTGCACATATGTTGATACGCTTTAACTTGTGCATTCATTTATTTATCCAATGGGAATACCCCTGATATGTCGAAAATGTCAATATTACTACAGGGGAATCATACAAGCTGCTGACAATAGGCAATTTTCTCCAGTTGTTTTTCTCCAAATTACCCATTGTTTTGAGAAATTATTTTGGTTCAATTACTGTCTCTGTTAAGATTATAATTTCCAATGATTTGGCCTGTTAAAACCTCTAAATGTAATAGTTTATATGAAGATTGAAAGCAAATTGTTTTCCAATCATTTCTCACTGTATATTGCAGGTAAAGGATTGACTCTTGTGGGTACAGTCATAGAAGGGAACTACAAAGACCACTATGCTGAGGCACAGGCTGCCAAACTGGTAGGTACAAAGAGCATTTATGCATGGCAGTGATCTCAGTCATAGACCACTATGCTGAGGCACAGGCTGCCAAATTGGTAGGTACACAGAGCATTTATGCATGGCAGTGATCTTAGTCATAGACCACTATGCTGAGGCACAGGCTGCCAAACTGGTAGGTACAAAGAACATTTATGCATGGCAGTGATCTCAGTCATAGACCACTATGCTGAGGCACAGGCTGCCAAACTGGTAGGTACAAAGAACATTTATGCATGGCAGTGATCTCCACAGTATTAGAGCAACTGGGTACTGACACCTGTTGAGAATCTGAAGAAAAAATTTACATCCTACCAAATGAGTAAAATATTGAGAGATATGCTGATTGTATGATCAAATGAGTAAAGTATTGAGATATGCTCGTATTACAGTATATAATAAGAAGTTAGCACCCTGTTGAGATAACTGTTTATCACATGGTCTGTAAAATTCCAGTAATCTGATTGGTTGATTACCGTGTGAGTTTTCCCGTCTCACACGGCCGTCTCACACGTTACTAGAGGCAACTAGTGATGATCAATAGCAACGATGTGACGTCACTGATTATATCACTTCTAGCTTAAGGAAAACAATATGACGTCATACTTTTTCACAAACAAGTACGAATACAACGGTATGACGTCATATTGTTTCAAAGCGAAATCAAAAATTATAATAGTTACCAGGAGCAGGAGTACACAGGGTACTGAACACAATAATAACTGACCAAATCAAAATGCTTCAAAATTCCTAGACATGTGATAAAATCGTCATCACACGTTTCAGCTTATGTGATACAGGAAATATTCCACTCGGGTAACAATGTATCACCACTCAAGCTTCGCTTTCGTGGATGATACAGTATTACCTTTCGTGGAATATTTCCTGTATCACATGCTGAAACGTGTGATAACTGATAGTATGTGCTATTCAGATCCCATCATACTATTGGTTTGCTTGGGTATTATAGCTTAAGTTACTGGCATTAGAATGTCAGGCCCCTTCTCTGTGTAAATAACACCTCAAGCAAACTAAAGTTATGATTGGGTGTGAAGAGTACTTGTGTATATGGGTGCATCATGGCATCATCATACTTTAGCTTTTTCATTATAATGCATTTAAAGACACAGTTTAAGTTCTAGTGTTGTGTACAAGTATTTTCCATACTTCTGTTTACTGCTATGATGTTTGTATTTTATGCTTAAGGTAGATTGGTATTAGAAGAAAATGGTTATATTTTATGTAGATATTGACAAATTATGGTATACTGCATTGTTCGAAATCAAAATATGATGTTAAAATTACTGTATGTTGAAATGATGACTCCACAATTTGAAAAGAAATCTGAAAGTGCGGAGCTACCTTAACATTTAGATTTATAACAACATCAACTTCAATTCAAGTTGGATTTGTAGGAATGTGGAGTTAAAATGTACATGTGCATTTAGGCCAATAGGGTAAGATATGTATGAAGTGGCCCATTTGTTTGAACAATACCACACAAACACATTGACTTTGAACCACATCCATATTTAAAATAATCCTAATTCCATTCTTCATCCTCTTTCCTTCCAAAGAAATGTGTCTCCATGTTACGCTTTCCATTTAATATCTCGATGTTTCAGCATGTCATATCTTGAACCGTGGCTTAAAAGAATTTGTGTTCAAATGTCTTTAAAAAGTTTGAGATTTAAGATACTGGTACGGTAGAAATTGTGTCTCATAGAAATGGCTCCCTGGTTATTAAATGCTTCTACCATAGACTTGTTTTTGTTATGAATTACAAAAACCCATATTTATACAATGTAACCCTGTAATTCCTTGCCTATCCAATATCCATGCTTGAATAATTTATATTTTGGTTTCTTAAACATTTTATGGATTTAATGGAACAACAAAACTCGCCACATAAACATTTAATGTTCTACTTCTATATACAAAGGATGATCAATAAATTGTGGAAGTGTCGCTTTATCTCAAAAGATATTTGGATTCATGTCATCAAATTGTGTCAACAAATAAGTATACACTCCTGATTGTATTGACTAGAAATTAATATATATCTGATGAATTTACACACTTAAGTCAGAAAGATGGTGTACAGTTTCATTGATGTTTTGCAGTTATGGCAATATCTGTGTTTTCTTTTTTGGTATTTGTTATTCACATGTACAAGTATTTAATTTGGACTGCACAGAAATACTGTTAAATGGTGATAAGTAAATAACAAACACACTTGATTTTCTTGATTTTCTGGTCACAACGTGTTTCTCAACAATTTACCAGTTAACCTTGCACAGTGGTTTTGATGTGAAATGTTATGTCTTTGTCCCAGCATATCACTGCAATGTTGCAGAGTTTATGATTTTTTGCCTCTCGTAATACTAGTCAGTATCAGAGAAAAGTAACTGTAAGGATAATGTAAATAAATTCTTAAAGCAAAATCAGTGGAATAATTTCCGTATGAACAGCCATTCTCTTGTCAAACAGTGACAAAGATTTGGTTTCGTACAAAAAATGTCAAACTATTGAGTCAGTGAAAATCAAATGAATTATTTATGGTGTTAATTGTACATTTCAGAATATTTCTAAAGCTATGACTTCTTCTAAAGCAAAGGGATTTGCAGAGGTGCTTATTGCACCTGATGCAGTGCAAGGCATCAACCATCAGTAAGTGACACTCATTTTACAAGGCATCCGCCATTTTACATCAACCATTGTCAAGTTACATTTATTTTACAAGGCATCGAGTGATCAAACTTTCAGTTCAACACTCATGTTATGGGGTATTAAGTGTTCATTCTCGAAGAAAAGTTGAAAAAATGTGATACACCATCACCCTCTGGGGCAGTGATATCGTACGATGCGCGATCCGATCCAGATAAATTTCGTCATGGTAATGATGCATTGTGGGATGAATCCAAGAATTAATCCAAAAATCGGTGAATTTGTACGATCTCTTGAAGTGGATTACTTTTTTGATAAATTTTATATGAATTCCAATGTAAATTGGATAAATTTGGGGGATTCCCCCTCTCAATCCTCGGATCGTACGAATTCACCAAATATTTATCAGATTAGTAATACAAGGTTTATCCTAGAAGATAATTTTAATCTGGATTGGATTGGGGATCGTACGAATTCACGACCCCTAAAGTTTGAGTTTGAATGAAATGATTTGTTTGTTTATTTCAGGATTCAGCTTCATGGTCTTGGAGGTCTGAAGCACAACACTGTAGTTCTGGGATTCCCACATAACTGGAGAAAATCAGAAGAAGAAAAAGCATTCTCAGTCTTCATAGGTATGGAATTGATATATATGTACAAGTAAAATGTGTCAGGTGAACTCGTAGGTCTCATACTCAAAACCCAACTAGAGTCAGAAGTTGCTGGAGGACTTTAAAATCAAGTTATTTACATGTTGTGTTAGAAAAAATTCATGGGAAAAAATGGAAACAATATCTTTCATTTTGGTTTTCCTCGCTCGATGTTATTCACAAAAATGTTGTGTTATTTGCAGAGACTGTTAGATGTGTGTCAGATGGCCAACTGGCCTTACTTGTGCCAAAAGGAATTGCTCAGTTCCCAGAAAACTCAGAGAAAATGCAGGGCACCATAGATGTATGGTGGGTAGTGCGTATCCTTTACTGAAACAATGAAAATAAAAAAAAATTTATTTTCTTTTAAAAACTAATTTAAATAATTTTTGATTTCAAAGACAATACTATATACTCATTATTTTATTACTGTGTTTATTAAATTAGAAAATATTGAACTAATTAGTCTTGCACCAAATCTTTGAATTACCTTATTACCTCATCATTTCTATTCCTGGCTATTTTTGTATATACAGATAGCACTAGGGGAGAACAGATAAGAGGCTAGATGCAGTGACTTTGAATATATTACTAGTCACATGATTTTTTTTAATTTTCAAAACTTAACTTTTTGACAACAAACAAACATTGATATATATAAATATTTCACTGTTCGCTTTTATCCAATTCCAGGATAAGACTTGTGCTTAATTTATTCATATTTACTTGTTATGCATCCTTGACCATAAATTAGACGATGGTGGTCTCCTGATGTTGCTGCCATTCTTACTGATGCAACACAAAGTTTGGAAACACTGCAAGATGAGGATCTTCACTGTAGCACGTATCCTTTGACAAATATATGTACTTTCAGTATGTTCCAAAAGTAGCAGGACTGGTGCTGGCATTTTGTCTACACCAATTGTGTTCAAAATTTTTAGAAATACATTTATGGGGAAATACATATGGGGATGAATATATGATATCTGCCTGCAATCAGGCTTTTGCGGGACATATAAAATATTTTCTAACCATTCCTAGGATAAGATATATTATGTTATCTACCCCAAATCCACCTAAGTATGAGATATATCTGCTTATTACATAAGAACACAAAGGTCAATACATGGCTAAGAACACATAAAACTACACTGTAGTATGAACATTTGATAGATTTGAAAAATTGAGAGAACTTGATACATGGTCTTAAATTATGTTATAATTTTATGATGTTATGATTTTTAAGAAATTGATGACAAAAAAATTAGAAACATCTGTAACGAATGGTTACACTGTAAGTGCAATTAGGTTGTGCCATTTTGTCACATTTATGCCTTGTTTTCTTTAATGTGTACCCAGAAATGGAGGATAATAGCATTCAAATGAAGAAAGATCTAGCCACCTTCCTCTACCATCTCAGAATACAGGCTGAAGTCGAGGTCGTTGAAATGGTACGTCTGAATTATATAATATGCAGTTTTCTTTGTGCAAAGTGTATGTATGAGTTAACTGTTAATATGTTTAACCGACCCTTGTGCTTACTATACTGTACTGGATTGTACTGTACTGTATTGTACTGTACTACTCTACTGTATTGTACTGTACTACTGTACTGTACTGTACTGTACTGTACTAAATACATTTGACTTGCGATATATTTGACCATTGCCTGCTCTATGTCCAATCAAAATTGAGTATTTAGAATGAAGTACTAACAATATATATTGTCATTTTGTAATGCAGACTGACAGTGATATCTCAGCCTACACGTATGAGCGCACAATGGTCATGGAACAGAGAATATCGATGTTGAAAGAAATGCGACTCACAAAGAAAGATATCGCTGCAGAGGTGAGCTTTGAGTTTTTCTTGGAAAGAATTGCCCATCTGGTTTTCATCAATCACTATTAAATCCGTAGTGTGTATACCAGGTTATTCAATAAGTTTGTGAAAAATGCTCTCATTTTAAAGGAGTTTGATACTTTTCATAAACTTTCCACATCACATCCCAAAAATATCTGGTTATTAATTCATGAAATACCAGCATCTAACTTGATTGTTTAAAAATAATGGTGACTATGGTAACTTGACTTTCAGATAACCAGGGCACTTTTTACGTCATACTTATTTACTATTACTTACTAGGCATGATATTGTCATCAGCTTGGTCTTCACCAATAGTGCACTTTTTGTTGTCTGCATATTTTCTGACAAACTGGGTTGACTGTTTGATTTGAAATTAAAAAAGTTAATTATTTTGGAAATGTAAAACTGATTAGTTAAGGCTGCCATTTTTGTTGATATTAGACATTATAATCAGCTTGTGCCTTGTTATATTTATTACTTTTAGCCACAAAGAATCGTGGATCAAGCCCACACTAAGTCAGATGTAAAAATAGTTTTGGATCCAGTACCTGAAGAGGTTCAGAACCCAGACCCAGAGAAACCACTTACAACTGAAGAGAAGATCTCAGAGGCAAATCTGTATACATTTTCTCCATCCTCCAGTGGGGCCAGACAGCCAAGCCCAAGCCCTGTATTAGGAAAATCAGGCTCCGGGGGTAATCTTCTGGAAGTTAAACCGTAAGTGGATTTGTTTTTACTATGCATGTATTTTTGGGTTTGGATGCTAGTGATGTTCTCACCTTTCAATTTTTATTCCATTTACTGTAAATGGTTTTCGCATATCATTTTTTGTTGAATACATATTTTTTCTTTATCTGGCTTAGTGTTTAGCTCTTTAATATCTGCTTGTCTTTTATTACTCTCATTGAATCTTTTTCATTTCTTGCTTTGATTTTTAATCGCTATGCCATTCATACTTGATTTCCATAGAGATACTATATCGAGTACTGCATCAACAAATTCACAATAGCTGTTTATTTCCATTGAAATTTCTTATGTGCTATATCTGGTACTTTCTTTATTAAGAAAGCAAACCAAAATTGATAGTGTTTGCTTAAATGTAACCTGTACATGTATATTGTGAATTTTATGATGAAGAATTTATGATGAATGTTTTCATTGCTATTTCTTAAATCTTTACATTTCTAGTTTTCATTTCTGTTTTACGTTATTTCTCAACATATCTTTAATTCTGTTTCTATACATTTTTCTGTTTCTTGACATTTTTAATTAGTCTCTGCTTATTATGTCATCATATTATTGTATTCTGTGTGCATTGTAGTCGCATGGATGGCTTTGATTTTAACAAAAGTGGCAGTATCAGGTACTAATATAACACTAGTATAAATTATAATGCACTTTAGGTTCCACATTGAATTCTACATGTACACGGAGTTGTTCTTATTTGTGAAAAATGTTTTAGATAACACTTTTTTTCGATTTCTAAAATTGTATCATTAACAAGAGTGAAAACAAAATGTTTTACATGACATGTAGAATTTAGTGCAGATTTCAGGTAACACCTAAAAATGATATATAATGCAACAGTGACCAATTACCAACCTTAAAACCAAGATGTAGCACAAGTACCATTGATCAATGACTATTGAGTTACTGACCAGCCCAAAAGTTTAATAATTAATGAATATAATGTTATTAATTATAGAACCTCTCTTTATTTTATATGCATAATCACTAATGCTTACATTATATTTTGTATAATTCATAATAAAACACACACCCAGCCCCTCCTTATAGTAATACTGTAAAACATGTCAGTCACATTTGATCTACAGCAACTGTACGGAGGCTGTAGCTTCCCAAAATTGAGAGAAATATGCAGCATGAAATGTAGGGATAAGCAGTACTTCATGGATTTTCTATATCGATTTTGTGAACCTACGCCGCCTTATACTCATAAATGGTGAATCAATGGACTGATTTATCAATTTTACATGCTTCAATAAGTTTAACCATTGTTATCAGTATATAGAAATTCTAAAAATAATTAATCATATTTCAGAATTGACAAAACTTCATGTCCATATTGAACATGTTTTGCAGTAAACAAAAAAATCCTTGTATATCTTATGTATGTCGGTCATAATGGCTATACCCCATCAGGTGTTCAGATAAGAATGTTTTTGTACACATGTTTTATTGTACATGTGTATAAATTCTTTCATAAATGATCAAATATACAATTCACTTCTAAAAGAAAGCAGTACCTTTCATTGATCACTTCCATATGTCACCCCCATTACACTCGTAAATGTAAATGTATGTATTCGTAAAGTTTTTACCGAGCTCATTATATGTTTGAATTAATGAATTTGCCGAGAAAATTTGTTATCAAGCCCTATACAAAAAAGTCATTAGCATTTCATTATATAGCTTCAATAGAATGAAACATTTGTATAACATTTCTACTGTCTTTACAGGGACAAGAAGAATGTGAGGCGCATGCACACTGCTGTTAGACTAAATGAGGTTATCGTACAAAAGTCACATGAGGCAGCCCTTGTGCTTATCAACTTGCCAGGACCACCAAAGAATGTTGCTGGAAATGAAAACTGTATCCTTTATTCCAAACGTTGCTCACTCTGTGATTTGTCATTGTTAGATACTAAAGCAGAAAAAGAAATCAATTCAATGCAGTTTTTCTTAACTGATTAGTTGAGCACATTTACTGTTCAATTACATCTCCCAACACTTCTATAGTTGGAAATATTGCATATGTATGATAAATCACTATGTTGCTATTGACCAATCAGTAATTTGAATTTTGAGGTACTGCATAACAGAAATAAGATTATGTATAAACTACTGTGGTGATCAAATATAATGTTCAAACAATTATTTTTCAATTTGTCTTCTATGTTAATTGCTTTGTTGTATTTCTTAACTCTGTACAGATATGGAATTTTTGGAGGTGCTGACCGAGGGTCTAGACAGGGTACTTATGGTTAGAGGTGGAGGCAGAGAGGTCATCACCATATATTCCTAGAGACAGCGAGTTCATCACACCATATATTCCTAGAGACAGCCAGTTCATCACACCATATATTCCTAGAGACAGCCAGTTCACACCATATATTCTTAGAAACAGCGAGTTATCACAATTTATTTTCATAGAGACAATGGGTTCATCACACCATATATTCCTAGAGACAGCGTGTTCATCACACCAAATATTCCAAGAGACAGCGAGCTCGCACCATTTATTTCTAGAGACAGCATGTTCATCACACTCTATGTTCCTAGAGACATAAAGCTCACACCATATATTCCCAGAGACATTTTTATTATTCCTAAAGACCAAACAAGTTTATCACACTATGTCATACTACATGTAACATATTCCCAGAGAGAAGTCATTGCACTATATTTAGAGTTATGTATTGATGTATGAAACAATGCCATCACCATATATTCCTAGATTAGGCCATTCAAAGTTTAATATATGTCCAACGTCACCTCCCTGATATAAGCAGATTTTCTGAAAACAAACAAAAAATTAAAGGGGCCATATAATATGTACTTAGCATGAATTCAGTTGACAGTTGAAGCTTTAAAATTGTGATCTTAAATCATATTATAATGTTTTTCAATTCCCGGTCTCCTAAAATTTGGCCCTTAGTCAGGATGTTAAACATATTAACTTAGAATGGCCTTAAGAGTGGAAAGAGGTCAATGCCATGGAAACTGTCATCGCCACAGTCAAAATGTAAAGCAAGGATGACTATAAATTTTAATATGTAAATTAAACCCTTGCTCAATTCCTGACCAGTGTATCTTTGTAAGATTCATGACAAACTTTTTTTATTATTTTGACTCATGAATGGATTTAGGTTGCATTTTACATTTGATATGATCATAAGTATAATATTTCTATGGTGACTGACTTATTCCGAATCTGTTATGTTCTAGTACTTATATGCATATGCCGAATCTGTTACATAGCTCATTTCTGTATATCAGAATATTTTATATAGCTATTATTTCAATACTGAATCTGCTATATAGGTTATTTCTATAAACCTAATATGTTAATAGCTCGTTCCTGTGTATTCATTTTGTTATATAGCTCATTATATATTGAACCTATGATGCTATGACAGATATCACAAGGCATAATGACTTGCATTTTTGCGTTGTACATATGAGGGCTGTTGTTCAATGACATTACACATGTACTTAATATATTACTCGAACAGCAATAATTTGTACATAATGCATACTTGCATGATCATTATGTATATTGTTACATATACATGTATATATATGCTCAGAGTTAATGGAGATATTGCACTGTTATGGATCTTATTTTCTACGATTTTCTAAGAAGCGCAATCGAACATTGGTTTTTGAAGACGAAACATTATAGATAAATATGTCCAACCTAAAAAATAACTATAGAGTAAATAGAATCAAATTAATCACTGGACACGACTACACGTAATAAATAATAACAAAATAATAAACCTACTAGATAATGAAACAGTTAGCATTGGACTGTGTCAACCATCTTTTTTATATGACACAAAACTTGGGCATTGATTTTAAAGTCATTTTAAATATGTTTAATTGTAGAGATAGTCCATGCTGCCAAAATATGACATCATATTAAGGAAAGATGTCAGGAATAAATGATGCCTGATATGTATTAAAGAAAAAATTAACGCCTGTCCTAAATCTATTAAATGAATAAAAAAATGTGTATATTTTTTGCTGCAGCGCGGTTGTAAAGTTGGGCTTGATTCTTAAACTATATCGCATTTAGTTCTTTGCTGTTAAGAAAATGCTTTTTGTTGATATCCCAACTTTATATGGCTGCATGTAGAGCGACAGTAAAACAAGGCAATCAAGGACGCCATCTGTGGTTATCGCATACACACTGGATGAAACAAGTTTGTAAATTTTGTACAGAATAGGTTAAATTATAATTTTAGCATGAAGAATCAATAATGTAAATTTTAATATCAAGATTAATTTATAAAATTATAGAAAAAGATAAAGTGGAAAACAGGTGATTTTTAAAAATCATTCGAGAAAATGTTTTATGTATTTATTTGCTGTACTGTATGTATAAAATTTCAGACTGATTCATTCACATTTTTATTCGCATGTTTCCCATGTGGAAAATTGTACGAATATATGTATGTATTGTAAATATAGTTATAGCTTAACAGTACATTTTTGAAAATGTAAGAACGAAAGTAAATGATGCTGTGTGGGATGTTGAGGCTACAGATATGGGGGTTATTGCGATTTAAAGTAAAGATAAATTTAATACTTGAAAAGAAATGTATATGTAGACATGTACTGTTGTGTCCTTAATGTTCGAATTGGACTTTTAATGACTGTGCAGTAATATTCAGAGATAACTCAAATTTCGATGTTAAAGTAACCTCATTTTATTGTTAGGCCTACTTGTTAAATTGTGAATTTCGTGTTGGTCAATTCAGTCGAATTAGGCCCATGCATTTTAATTTTCAAAATGCACAAAATATTTTAAGGGTTCATAATGAAAAAAAAGTTTAATATTTTATTGTGCAGTCTTGTTAGAAATATATTTAAATGATGAGTCAGCATTTGTTTTTTGGTAATCAATACATGTGATTTTAATATTTTACAAAATGTTCCAAAAACAGTAGAGATTGAAAGTGAAGGGATATAATGAATTTTTGTCAGAGTTTTTGAAATATTTCATTTGAATCATTTCCCTTTACTTGGAAAATTGCAAAATTGAACCCTTTCAATGGATCTCAAATCTCATATAACATTTAATATATGTGAAAAGTATCATGGAATTTTAAATGAAATGATAAACTTGGCAATGGTGCTTCAAAATGACGAGAGAGCTTTAAATCACACATATTTTACTTATTATGTCACCACCATTTAATGGTGACATATTGCTATAGCAACCATTTTTGCGACCAGCATTTGGTGACGGTGGTGTTCATTGGCAGTGTCTTTAACAAATTGTTACACTTTTATAACCAATACAATAAATCACCTGGTGGTGACATTTTGTTGTGTTAATGCCTTGTAGTTCATCTTATAATATGTTCGTTCAAGGCTTCATAGTTAGAAAAAAATGTACAGTACAGAAATAAATTGAACTGCTTGAATTTGATCGTGACATTTGGGCGAATTTGATCAACTATGATGCAAATTTTGTTCGTTGTCCACTGTTTGTGTTCCATAAATCATCCATATAGGGGTATTTATGTTTTCAAAATGTCTTGCATCATCCTTGTTGCCATTTTGAAATATTGTCCACTCATGTATGTCAAACTCTAGTTGAACAAGTAATGAATAAAATTATAAAAGTTAGTTGTAATGCATGCATTGATCAGGTGATGTATAAACTTCAAATAAATAAATTGAGTCGAGAATGATGTGATTTTAAATAGATGTTAACTAGTTCTGCACAATATTAGGTGAAGTAAACAATTCATATAATTTTGTACAAAAAGCTCGTGTTTGAAAGGCAGTCGAAGTTTACATAGATTAAGTTTTTTATATTTTGCAATGTTAGATTTATTGAGAAGTTAAAAATAAATAAACTTATGATATACAACAAAGTTGTTCTTGTTTCATATAAATCCACAACGTAAAAGGACAGACAAAATATTTAGCAGTTCAATTGGGCACAATATAATCAAATATTTTGATGTTGACCTTTTAGGTGACCTTGACATTTCTTCATCTATGACCCTATTATTAGTTGTTTATCTGCATGCCATCATTTATGGACCATTCAAATATCCTCAATTCCCTATGATTACAAGTAAATTAATCCTGTCTGTAACAATGTGAGAGCAAATGTCCAGAAAAGGTCATTTACGAAAAAAGCAAGTGTGTGTCCAGAATCCATGCCTCCTTCTCGACCCCTGCAACAGGAGGATGTAAACTGACCACAATATGACTTAACAATACCTAAATACTAAATTTTTTTATTCAATTTATTCATAATAATATAAATTATGTTTATTATTAATATATTATAATTGATATAATATTTCGCCGTCATATATTTTATACATAAGGCACAAATCCATGAAGCTTGTAAATTTCATTGTTAATTCTTCAGTTATTTATTTCAGATATTTGCAAGTCTCCTGTTTCAGGATCTGGAATTTCTGACATCTCGTCTGTCTCTATAACACTATCATTCTCTATAACATCACTGGTCTCTATTACATTATGAGTTTGTATGACATCACTTGTTTCTATGACACCAGTGGTCTCTATTACATCACTACTGACAACAGTGCTCGCGTCTGACACTTCAATATGTTCCCCCTGGGGTGTGACATACTGAATAACGTACTGATTTTGATTGGTTGTTTCTGGAGATGTTGACACCACAACCTCCTCACTAGAATCTGAAATCAAATCAATATATTTCAAATTTATATTCGTAGCGACCACAAGCCAAAGCTAAATTCAAATTAAAGGTGTGTTGTGTTGTGTTGTGTAACATGGCGTACGTAACATGCAGAATAGTTAAATGGTTAATGAACATACTATGCATACTAACACAATATACAAAATGAAACAGGGATATTGTATCATAACAGACTCCTGAAATACGAATGTTAACTTTTTATAAAGGTATGATTTCTGTTTAAATGCCCAGTGAAAACTTTGACTTATATTCTTATCTCACACAAGGTAAATCATATCAAATACCATAGCAACATAGTCAGACTTGCACTAAATATAATATAAGTAAATACAAGGCTAACATGCAAAATGTCACCACCTGCCATTTGTTACAGATTCTGACCACTGAACGCCAATGCCAACCATTGGACACCAGAACAAAAAAGTTGGAGATCATAACAATATGTCATCACTTGTGACACAAGTGAAAATATAAGTGTTATTAAAGGCAGAATCAGATTCATGGGAGATTCATGAAATATTCTAAAATTGAAACAATTTTTTGTTCGGCTGCTTGCTAGATCTGATTCTCTCTTTAACATCAAGCTTCCACCTACTTTCATCTTGTACAATGATTGTCTCAGGGTTCACTGCAACCATAGCATTCTGAGGTTCCATAATAACTTGCTGAACCTGGGATTGTTGTTGCATATCTATGATTTGTTGTAGGAGATTAACTGCAGTTTGGTCATCTATCTCTGTGGCAGTGGCCCCTAGAAATACAGTGCAATAATATATTACTTTGCATTACATGTATATATTATTGTGTACCGGTATATATGCTACGAGGGTTGATCATAAAGTTCTCATAATATCTCTCTAATTTCTTTACTTTTCAATATTTTTCTATGAAATCTTCACAGAATGTGTAGCATGGAATGTTTCATTAATCTAGCAAAAAATATTTAGGATAACTGAAACATTAAATAAGAAATGGTTGCCATAGTAACTTGAAGTCAAGGCACCCGGGGCAAATAAAAAAACTAGCTAGAATAGCCCCTATTAACCATGTTTAAATACATAATTAGTTGTCAAATAAGCTGTCAAACACATTAAATTGTCAAATAATATGTGATCTTGACTGTTGTGAACTATTATAATGGTCATGTGAATTGTGTGATCTCATAATGGATGATTGTTATGCTTCATTAGAGGTGACCGTTAGACCCCATGACTGTTTTGTCAAATATCCCGAGGAAAATTGATTTTGCCCCTTTAGTTCATTTTTAACATGTACAGACCACACACATGGTGTAATTTTGTTAATACCTTAGCAATATATTTCTTTTAGATCATGTTTAGTCTGACCAAAGGATCTTACAAACTTAACATAACATATTATCAATATGAATTTTATTTTTCTGAAGATCTCTGCATCTATTGCATTCTCTTACACAGTCATTTCTGATCATTAGCTTTGAGTCTCAGACCCTCGTATCACATCTAATGAAGCATGAAAGCATCCCATATGACACCACACAATCAACATGATCAATTTTTTTAATAGTAAAAGCACTTAACAACAAATTCAAGTTAACATTTTAACGTGTTTGGTAATTCATGAGAGTTTATTATGTGTGTTAAAATGGTTAATTAGAGCCATTCTCTCAATTACTTTTATTTGCCCCGAGTGCCTTGATTTCCCGTTACTATGGCAACCATTTCTTATTTAATATTTCTGTTTAACTAAATATTTTTATCTGATTCAATAAGACATTCTATGCTGCACATTCTGTGAAAATTTCATTAGAATATATTGAAAAATATAGAAATTAGAGGGATATTATGAGAACTTTATGATCAACCCTCGTATTTTTGAGTCCGTTGCTGCGTGTTATGATCTCAATTATGCCTCAAACTTGTTTTCGAAGTTTGATCTTTGCGATCTTTTTGAAGAATTATTACAGGTTATTTTAAATAGCACCCCATACAACAGGAAGTGACAGTTTAACAGCAAGATTGTTACCTGCTTTTTTAGAGTCATGAAATAAACCTCATGTGACATGTAAGTGATTCCAATCACTGTCAAATATTATATTGAAATTCTTACCTGAGTTTTGTAGAGCCTGTAAGGCCAATGTAGCATCAGTCTCCTCTTGTGTACTGAACCCATGAAGTACAGAATTCCCTTCTTCCACCTGGACTGCTTGATTCTGATTGGCTGCCACCTCTTCTGTTGCTATAGCAACTGGGACATTTGGTGCTTCTTGAAGTTCAGAGATGTCATAGACTTGAATCTGGTGACGTATCTTCAAATGGCGTCTCATATCTGAGAGATTTCCTGATGAAAAAAAATTGAATGACACTTTTAAATAATAATTATTACAAATATAATCAATATATATTATAAATTAGCAGCTATAATCTTAAAATCATAATTAAAATAATTATGTTGATCAAAAGATAACATTATGGTTCATCTTGTACAAAGACAAAAAAAGTACATATTTTAGTGTATGTAGAAGGAAATGGAAATCAAGATTGAATTCAAGTTCTTTCGAATGAAGGATAAAAGTAGACTCAGCAGGTAATCAAACAATTTGTTCACTAATTTTATCTAAAACATATCATCTTCACTTTTAACAAATTCTGAGATACAAAACTCACCGAAGAGGTAGTCACAGCTGACACATTTATACACCCTTGAGTCAGGGTTCAATGTGGACAATTGATTTGATGTATTATGGTTCTCCATCATCATTCTTTGGTTGAATGTTACACCTTTGTGGAACTTAGTGTAATGAGCCTTCATGTAGCCTACTGTATTGGCCGAGTAGTCACAGTGGCTGCACATGTAACGTTTCTGGATGTCATGTGTTTCCATGTGGCGCTGGAGGTGGCTTTTCTGAATGGCTTCATAGCTACACCTACAATAGCATTAAATTAGAAAATTCAAGTACAGTGAAACCTGTATATCTGAACACCCCTCTAACACCTATTAATGTGAACACCTTTTCTCTCTTATTTTATTTTATTTTTCATTTTTTCACAAATTATCAAAATAAACAGATTAATACAATGTGATGAACCTCAGAGCAGGACATTAATCATTTTAGCTCACATTTCTTTATTACAGTGACTTACTTTTGACATTTGAATATCTTTCCATCTTTGTGTGTGCGTACATGCCACCTCATGGCAGTCCTGGACTTGTACGCTTTACCACAATGCTACATTACTCATAATTGGCCAAAGGGACTTACTTTTGACATTTGAATATCTTTCCATCTTTGTGTGTGCGTACATGCCACCTCATGGCAGTCCTGGACTTGTATGCTTTACCACAATGCTACATTACTCATATTTGGCCAAAGGGACTTACTTTTGACATTTGAATATCTTTCCATCTTTGTGTGTGCGTACATGCCACCTCATGGCAGTCCTGGACTTGTATGCTTTACCACAATGCTACATTACTCATATTTGGCCAAAGGGACTTACTTTTGACATTTGAATATCTTTCCATCTTTGTGTGTGCGTACATGCCACCTCATAGCAGTCCTGGACTTGTATGCTTTACCACAATGCTACATTACTCATATTTGGCCAAAGGGACTTACTTTTGACATTTGAATATCTTTCCATCTTTGTGTGTGCGTACATGCCACCTCATAGCAGTCCTGGACTTGTATGCTTTACCACAATGCTACATTACTCATATTTGGCCAAAGGGACTTACTTTTGACATTTGAATATCTTTCCATCTTTGTGTGTGCGTACATGCCACCTCATAGCAGTCCTGGACTTGTATGCTTTACCACAATGCTACATTACTCATATTTGGCCAAAGGGACTTACTTTTGACATTTGAATATCTTTCCATCTTTGTGTGTGCGTACATGCCACCTCATAGCAGTCCTGGACTTGTATGCTTTACCACAATGCTACATTACTCATATTTGGCCAAAGGGACTTACTTTTGACATTTGAATATCTTTCCATCTTTGTGTGTGCGTACATGCCACCTCATAGCAGTCCTGGACTTGTATGCTTTACCACAATGCTACATTACTCATATTTGGCCAAAGGGACTTACTTTTGACATTTGAATATCTTTCCATCTTTGTGTGTGCGTACATGCCACCTCATAGCAGTCCTGGACTTGTACGCTTTACCACAATGGGGGCAGAGGAATGGCTTCTCAGAGGAATGCTACAGCAGCAACACAAATTATGAGAATACACTCTTCAGGGTGAGCAAATATGTATATATTGAAAGTGTGAGAGTAATTAGAGACAAATCAATGGCAAATCAACTTCCTGCTTCTAGTAACAAATAGTAAGACACAAGTTATGAAAACAGAATAAATATTGATGTTATAAGAAATAAAACCTTATAAGGTGTGTAGCAACAACAATAAATATAATCAAAATCTAGTTTTTCATTAATATTGATGTTATGAGAAACAGAACTTTATTAGCCTTTAAGCAACAAAAATTAATAGAATTGAAATCTGTGTTATTTTTTTCACTTACTCTAATCATGTGATTGGCCAAGTTATTCTTACTACGACAAGCGTGAGGACATTTTGGGCATTTAAATGGTTTGATACCCTCATGTATCCAGATGTGTTTTTGCAGATCTTTGTTCTGGTATGGTTTGTCACAGTATGGACACTTATATACTCTCCGGCCTACAACAACAAGACACACAGTGATAAATATCGCACTTTGAAGAGCAAACTGGCCACCATGCAATTTACCCAGCATGGCCAAAACCTAATCAGACCTTGGCACTAGTCTGCTCTTGCATCTGTTAACATTTCAAGTTAACAAGGTTAGCGGTTTTCCTGCAATTTTGATGACAAGAATTTATTTGTAGTCTTGAACTTTGGGAAAATTTAGATAACATTGTTTGTGACCTAATTTGATGACCTTCGACCTTGAAAATTTTCAAGGTCACTGAAGGTCAAATCTGAAATCTAAGGTCAGATTTGAACTTCTGAGAACTTGTAGATGTTTTTAAAAAAAAATTTGGTCAATTTGGAGCAAGTTGAAAAATTCAAAATGGCCGCCAAATTGAAAAATTCAAAATGGCCACCATGTAATTCAGCCAGCATACCCAAAACCTAATCAGATCTTGGCAATAGTCTGCTCTTGCATCTGTAAAAATTTCAAGTTGAATGGATAAGTGGTTTTCCTGGAATTTTGATGACAAGATTTGTTGAAAAATTCAAAATGGCCGCCATGTAGTTTACCCAGCATGCCCTTAACCTAATCAGATCTTGGTACTAGTCTGCTCTTGCATCTGTAAAAATTTCAAGTTGAACAGGTAAGCAGTTATCCTGGAAATTTGATGACAAGATTTGGTTTATGTGCCGCCCGCCCGCACGCCCGCCCGCCCGCCCAACAGCACAAGACGACGACAATATAGCACTTTTTCAAAGTGCGATAATAAAAATACACTTGTTAACCAATTCATAAAATGTAACATATTCAATAATAAGATCGTGTTACGCCATTAAGTGCACCCTTTTAAATTATTTTTTTGTTATTGTCATATGCCCAGTAACTAAAGGTATATTTATATGTGGAGATATAGGTCCACTTGAATACAGCTAAGTGGTAGGGAATTATCTTTGGTGCAGTGGCTCCAGGATCCCTGGTTGAGTTGAGAATAATTTACTTGTTACATAATATAATTCAGGATGTTTGACTGTTTTTTGGCCCACCTTGTATAGGTGAAAAGTGGGAACTGTTTCTATATTCTGACTCACCTATTTTGCCACTAGAGACATTAACCATGTTTCTGGCAGACAATTTATTGATTTCTTCAGGTGTCAGTTCAGAATGTTGAGCCATGAGATGTTCCTTGAGTTCTTCATGACTGGAAATAATACAAATCAATGTATAAAATATGTAGTTTATTATAAAAAAAGTGACAGAATGTGCCAATGTAAAGTTAACTTTAACAATTTCATTTCATGAAAAGAAAAATAATACATTCACTTTTAAAAATAATATACTCATATATATGTATTTTTTTAAATGTCATTAACTTTTCAATTATGTTAATTGAAACTTGCATGGTGAGATTAACAGTGCTATTAAAACGATACAAATACATCATTTAAGTATCACATAAATGTACAATCCATACTAGACATTACCTAGTGAGAATCAAATCACACAGTGTACATGGATTATGACCAATTTCAGGTTTATGGAACTGTTGATGATTCCAGAGAGCAGTGCGATTATTTGCTGTGAAGTCACATTCGCCACACTTTAGGATGACATTATCGTGCTCCCTTTCAACATGACGACGTAGGTTGTCCCGTGTGATGGACCGGTAGTTACATCTATCACAGGCATAGGGTTTGTCACCTGTAGGTTAAATACAATAGATATGTAAATCAGATATATAAAACATTATAACCACCTGTACTTTTCCTCTTGCTATATGGAACCCTGGTAATAACTAATATTTATTTCACTGAAAATATTTCCCTGAAACATTTGTAAACAAGACACTCTGTGATAAATATTGCACTTTGAATGAATATAAAGAATCACTGCCATGCTATTTACCCAGTATACCGAAACCCTAGTCAGATCTTGGCACTGCTCTTGCTTCTGTGAAAATTTAAAGTTGATCAGATAAACAGCTTCCTTTAAATTTTGAAGGCAAGATTTATGCAGCCCATGCACACCCTCCCACCTGCATGCACATGCAGCAGCACAAGACAATTATGGAACACCTTTTCAAAGTGAGATAAAAAAATTGATGTGAAAGTTATATAAAAATTAAAAAAAAGGCATTAACAATGCAAAATATCACCACCAGCCATTTGTTACTGACACCGAAAACCAACTGCCAAACACCAACCACCATCCACAAAAAATGGCAAATATTACATATCTAATCATTATCCGAAGTCATTATCCTAGAAGTATCTCACCTGTGTGTGTTCTGACATGAGGCTCATACTCAGACCTATTATAGAACAGTCTTCCACAATATTGGCATTCCTCTTGGCCAAACATCAACCTCAACTTTTCAAATATCTCCACAGTCATCACTCGATACCCCACTCTCTCATACAAGTCCTCTTTGCTAGGAGTCTCATTGGTTGAATCAGTGGCAGTGATTTGTGGCGTCGCCTCTTGCGTCTGAAGATGTTGAAGGAGCGTGACATTTGATTGGTCGTTTATGTCAATATTGGAATATTCAGCAGTTTTATCTGTGGGAGAATTCACTGGATTACTGTGTTGACATTGATCCGTATTAGTGTGGTCAGTGTTTCCATTTGTGTCCGATGGTTCCACAGAAGTGTTTTGCAGATCTCCAGAGGAATTTATGGCATCTTCTGGTACATTTACAGAATCCTCTGAGGCATTTATGGGGTCTACTTGTGTATTAATTGGATCTCCTGGGGCATCTGCCGTATGCTCACAAGAATTCGTTGGATCTTCAGTCAATTGTGAGGTACTTTCTTGTTGATTTGTGAAGACAATCTCACTACCACTAATTGTACATGTTGTAAATTCAGTCCCAGGCTTAGAAGTGATAGTTGTGTCTGCCATAATGACCACTTCTCTTTCCTTTTTATTTTCAGCAGTTTCTAGATTTTCCTCAGTTCTCACATAATTTGAGTGGTCAGTTTCTTGGTCTTGGTTCATAGTTTCTTGATCCCCCTCATTTGGGGCTTGTTCACCTGAATTAACCATTTGAGAGTATGGCTGCGAATGAAAGAAATTTCAGAATTTTTTATCTGTTAAATCATGTAATACAAAGAATACACAAGAGGCAAAGAATTAATGAGATGAAGAAAAGAATAAATACTCTTTGACAAAACAGAACTGGAGCAATTTGGAACAAAATGTTTAATGTCTGAGTGTTTACAACATGTGACCACTATGGAAGTGTTGAGCATACAGTAAATGTTGTGAAGTGGAACACTTTTTTTACGTGGAACACCTTCATAAGTGGAACACTTTTTGAAGTACCACAGGTTCTCAACTTATACATATTTTACTGAACTGGTATTTTTGAGGTAACGTTTATGTTTATTTCCTTTTAGATACACACATATACAATACATGAGTGGATGACACTTTAAAAAGCGTATATTCCCAACAAAATCCCATATGCTTATGCATAAGAGTATGGCAATAAAAGAACTTACAATTCCTTGGTCCAGTGAGCCATCACCTTCAGGGAGATAGAGACTGTGACCTATGCACTTCTCAAACAACTCCTCATGTGTTATATCTGACTGCTCCAAGTGGGTCTCCATCAGATGTTTGGTCAATAGGATAGAACTCAGGAACTGCTCAGTGCACTGTACACACCTAAGAAACAATTGGTGATATGTATTTCTCATGTGTTATATCTATTTGCTCCAAGTGGATCAGTAACTGTTCAGAGCATATTGGTAGTCATGCACTCTACAAATGCCTCCTTTGCAATAACATGTACTAAGATAACAACTTGATATTTACCTTGGTATGAATCATATAAAAATCTTGAAAAATTATGTAAACTTTGAGTTTAGTACGAACTGCAAAAATGGCTCAATAAGTTATTCACTAACAGGGACTAATGATATAATATATTGGCTGTGTTTTGGGACTATAAATACACATCACAGTGTTTTCCCCAGGATTTTATCTGAAGTAGGTGCAAAGTTCTTGATTTCACAATTTAGACCATACATGTATTTGGTCAAAATATGCCTATTTTTCTCATTTACAAGTAGGTGCAAATGGATCCTCAGGTGGGTGCATGCCTATTTTTAAAATCTCAAGTGAGTGCAGCGCCCACTTGCTTTAATGCTGGGAGATCACTGCATATAGCAAATGATGGCCCATACCTGTAAATAACCCTGTGTTTCTTCATATGATTCTCTAAATGTGTCTTCCTACTAGATGTGTAGTTACAAAACCCACAACAGAACACATTTGGCACGTCACGGATGTTATGGACAAATAGATGGCGATCACGATCAATCTTTTTCTTGAATTTCCTGTTGCAGATGTGACACTGATGTAGTACAGCTGCTCCACCAGTTGTTGCATATTTACGCTACAATTTAAAAATTAATTTTCATTGATTTTATTCCTAATGACAAAATCTACATGTATTATGCATGTGGTATAAAATACATTCAAAATGTATGGTTATAAAGTTTTTCAAGAGATATTAAAAAACAATGGCCATACGCAAAGAAACGGGAACAAAATTGTTTTAAAATCAGTCTCACTTTATTATTGAGCAAATATATGTAACGTCATCTTGAATCAGATTACTATGGAAACATACCTGTTTGAAAGTTGCCAAATATTCTTTTCCCCTAGTTGTATTTTGATGGTACTTCCTGACATGGTTGCATAATGACTTTGTAGTATTGTAGTTCTTGTGGCATATTTCACATGTTTCTTTCTGGGCAGTGTGAGTCGACTCATGCTCCACCAGATGGCTCTTATTGACACTTTTAAAGTCACATGCCCGACATTTGTAGAACTGCCCAGTATGTTTCCGCATATGAGTATAGAGGTTACCTAGGAGATGTGCCAGGGACATTATGAATGAGGATGCACAAAGGGCAACATTTCAAAACAAAACAATTCAAACCATGACAAAAAATTAGAAATAATCAGTAACATTAATTAAAAATATATTTGAATGTGTTCTTTTGCTGTAAATATATCAAACACTTCGAAACAAAAAATTTGTCCTTCATCAAAGAGAATTATATAGAGTGCCATTATCTTTACTATAATTCAGACCAAAATACCAACTTCTTTTTAACTCCCATTAAAATGCAGGTTGGCAGTCTTCATTTCGATAAAATACTTTTAACATTTTTTTCAAAATGAAGCCTCACATGAGTTATGATAATTTCAAGACAATGTAAAAAATCAATGTTCCTTTACGGACAATCAATGATAATCAACCAAAAAACAAGATAAGTCTACCTACCTTTAGAATTAGATGCAAAGTCACATTTACTACATTTAAAAGGCTTGAGACCCGTGTGTACGAGACAATGTAGCCTCATATGTGTAATAGAGGTGAAGATCTTATCACAGTCATTACAGGAATAGATATCCAAATTGCTGGTGCATCGTCCTGTGAGTGGTGGAGCCTTATCATTTGTGTCTTGCTCTATGGTGTGTGTACGGAACATGTAGTCGAGGGCTTTCAAGTCAACATTAACACTTTCTTCAAACTCAGCTTTGTCTGTTTCGTCACTGAACACAGGAACATCAGGTACCTAAAGTTTTAATGAGTTAAATGTACATGGTGAAACAAAAAATGCCTTGTATAATGTTGCATAACTTTTTTGTCTGCATGAATTCCGCCTCATAAAAGTGCATCTAGAGGAGTTACTCCATGGAGTCTAGTCTAGAGTATTTGACATTGTCTATACTCTTGAAATAAGAGGTAATGTTTATTCTATCAAAATATGTAGTGAGAAAATCATGACCCTACATTTTAAGCCTATAAGTACATTAATTTCACTTTTAAAGAGTGAATGTATTTAATATTTAAAACATAGCTGTTCATGTAGTTTGTTACCTGTTCAACTGTTTGAGGCTCCAGCAAGACATCTTTAGGTAGAGGGTTCAGATTTTCAGGATTCAGTTCCATCTGCGAATAAAAAGTTGTTATTGTTTCATTTGAATTCCAAGGCATTAACACGCAAAATGTCACCACCTGCCATTTTTTACATTTCAAAACAAAAAGCAGTTTTGGAAAAGCAACCAGAATAATCCCCCATTGCTTGCTGCTCATGAAACCCTTTATACTCCTGTATTGAATATTGGAAGGAACTATCTGTTTTTCTCGCATTTTCATTTGTATGCATGTCAGTTTACTTCATTCCTATGCATTTCAAAATATGATGTTTCTATGGGTCAAACAAAAACTATATGGAATTTGAAGGAACTATCAGTTTTTCTTGTATTTTCATTTGCCTACTATTCAGCTTATTAACTCTTTTCAAATCTATTTTCTTCTCAAAATATGATGTTTTTCATGGGTAAAACAAAACAAAAGTGCACCTGTTGATTATCAGAAGCCTCTGTATTCTCTTTATCTCCCATTTTCAACTTCTTTCTTTGCTGTTCAGGTTCATGTTCAGTTTGTTCATTTGTTACGCTGTCTGATTGAGCAGCTTGTCTGTCTGGTGGTGTTTTTCCGTGTTTTGGAGGACGTCCACGTTTTCTCCCAATGACTGGTGTTGCAGGTTCTTGTCTGGAATAGATAGATCAAAACTGTATAAATGTAGCAAAATATATATTTACATCCAGTACCAATAGCTATATCTCTAGTGCACCAATGCGTCATCATCATTAATAGTAATATTAATAGTTATGTAGTTTTTTACATGTAAATTTCTTTTTTTTCCCTTCCTATATAATTGCTATAATTTTTTGTTTGTACATGTACTTGACCCCAAGGGGTGTGAATGTACTTAAATAAATAAAAAATATAAATTTATAGTGAAATTATACAAGGCAAGAACATGCAAAATGTCACCATCTGTTATTTGTTACAGATGCCAAACATTGAACTTCGACCAACATCCACAAACAAGTCAGACACTATATCAATGTCACCTCTGGTCAAACTGAATTAAGACCCAGATGTAATGTTGCTTTAATATACATACAATAAAACAGCTCGTTTATTAATAAAATCAGTGGATGTTGTACTATGAGTTAGTTCTGATGGACCATATTGAATGGATGTCCATATTTCCCATTTACTCATATAATGGAATATACAATAATTAATTTGAGTTTGGGAGTGAATAAGATGAAAGAATGTGATTGGATGAATTAATAATTCTCACAAACAACCTAATAACTCTCAAAAGTGAAAAGTTACATACATAAAGTCAGCAGTGTTATCAGTGTCAATATCATCTTCAATTTCATCAAGTTCCTTTTCATCAATTGGGCCAGGGTCATCTTCTGCCTTGATGGCAGACCTCTTTGAGATGTCAATGTAGTCTGTGTTAGCCATACACTTGTGGCTGGTAAAATGACGCGCTCTGTGGAATGACTTCTTACATCTTGGACAATGTATCTTGCCATCTTCATCTATTGTACAATACAGAATTAATCTTTTTTATTGAAAATAGCATTTTTGTTTTTATTTAGCAATTTAATTTACTAATCAAATAAATCGATAATTATATCATGAAATTTAGATCATTACCCATTGAAAGGTTATGATCCATACATACGTGGGTCGTCCAAAGTCTTCAAGAGTTAAAATGCTTGAACTTTTTGGACAATCCTCAAACAGAGCAACTTTTGACTGATGTAAGCTCTGATACAAAATCTTTAAATTTTCTGTATTCAAATACATGTACTGTCTGTTGTCAGTTATATTTTTGCCATACCAATTTCTGGTGTTTTTTCGACTACTTCTGGCTTTTGAGCTTTTGGAGTTGTGGTTTTCTCTTCCCCTTTCCGTGGTCTGCCACGTCTTCTACCTGAATTAAAGATAAATTAAAACACACTGAAATACATCATTTTAACCCTTGCTAGTCAATTAATTCATAATGATCTGGACAGTACAAGTTCTAGCTTTAGAAGACCAACTTGTATATTTGTAATCCCACACATGTACAAGTAACATAGTACCTCAAAGGCAGTTAGCAAGATCATACCAGAAACTGGATATCATTACATTCTTAGAAGCTTCTTATATACTATCGAATCTTGTAATTAGGATAGAACTGACAGGACTCAAAAATTTCCTTGATACAGATTTTCCTAAATTGTTGAATTCATTCCTCTCTAACTTTGGTTATTTTGGAATTAACATTTCAAAGCACTGATGACATCATAAATTTGGCATGTTTTGATCAACAATGGTCAATAATGTAAAAATGAGACATCTGGAGATATTCGATGAAAAGGAAAGTATTGTGGATTGTGAAGTTTTGCATTTGAAGAATATGTAAACTGGTACAGAAAAACATGTGTAAGCGAAACATTTTTGGCCCCTCTAAAATGTTCTCCACTTACAAATTTGATTGGCCATGGGTCTGAAAAATGTTCCACTTATTGAAATGATTGAAGTGTTCCACTTACAGAGGTGTTCCACTCTACAGGTTTTACTGTACATGTAAACAAATACTGACCAGGGTTAGGAGGTGGAGCCATAGATTCATTGGTAATTTCAGATGTTGGTTCATTACTGACTGGTCGTATAACAATGGAGACCTTCTCTACTGAGCCCTCAGCCAGATCCTGTTCAGTAATCATCTCAAATTGAAGGTTGGGACCTATTTGTTCTTGATGATGTTGTGAGCTGCCATCTGCAGAAATGGATGTAAAATAAAAATCCAAAGAAAAGTATTTAATCTACATGTGTTAATTTGAAAAGAAATAAATGTGAATACACAAATCAGTACTGGTTTTGTATACTGTATAAGTGGTAATTTTGCCTAATCATTTAATTTGCCTATTTCCTAATTTTTGCCAGGTTCGGAAAATTAAATGTCGGAAATATTGTCTTTATAATGTTATCCAATGGGAGGTTTAGAGTATTAAGAGTACAACCGCTAAACATGAACATGTGTAACTGACATTATTACATATACCTCCACTGCATTAATTGGTTATTGCCAATGATCACATACCTTGTACAAGCTGAACAGCTGTCTGATCAAATTCAACCAATCTTGTGTCATCTGTCACATCCTCAGGATCCCCTATGATTCCTCCAGGTTGTGACTCCACAACTGCTTCTCCAGGCTGTGCATCCTCCAAGACATTGGGACTGCTGAGTTCAACAACAGTGCCATCTATACACACATTCTGCTTATGAATGACAAAGGTATCCAGGGAATGAAAAGTCTCTTGACAATTCCCGCAAATGAGAATATCTGCAGGCATCCCTGAAAGTAAAGTAAATTTATCTATGAGATTTTTTCAGCCAAAAGTATGATATTCCAACTTCTCAGCTCAGAGGCAGCACTCTCTAAGCATCTATTGCTCAGCAAGACAATCAATCCTTGACTCTAGTATAAATCTAATCATGGTCTTTGGTTTTTATAATCGGGAAGAATGGGGAAAGCACCCCCCACCCAACCATAACCAAACCAATCTGGCCCAAAGTCACATCATTTAAGTATCCTTTGATTGGTCTAGCAGGCCATGGGTGGGGTTGATTTTTTTTCAAATTACCCCCACAACTACTTGTGTATTGAAATCTTGTGGTTGAAAAAATAGTCAGGAGACACAAACCTGATTTTATCCAAATAACCACTAATCTACCATATTTTCACTGCAAGATTTCAATACACAAGTTAGTAGTTGGGGGTGATTTGAAATAATACATGTATGGGTTGGGGAAACCAAAGCAGTTTGGCCCAGTTATCTACTCCTGACGTCATAGAGTAGATAATTGGGCCAGACAGGTTTGGTTAGGGTCGGGGTAACTAAACCTGTCTGCCTCAGTTATCTACTCCAAACACAGGGAGTAGAGAACTGGGCCAGACTGGTTCGGTTATGGTTGGGTGGGGGTTCTTCCCCCATTTTTCCCAATTATAAAAACCCCAGACCATGATTTCTAGACTTATACTATACATGTAGTAGATCTACTGTAAGCCATGGGTTTCGGGTCTGCTCTAACCAAACCCGTCTGGCCCAGTTATCTACTCTCGATATCGTAGCAACGTCAGGAGTAGATAACTGGGCCAGACGGGTTTGGTTAGGTCTGCTCTAGGTCTATCTGCGATATTCTGCGTTAGACTATTTGGTTGGACCCACTCCCAAAACAGAGATATATTTAGGAACTGATCATGGGCTTTTACTTTTAAAACTCATTAGACCTGGATGTAGATCTCGGGATCTTGCAAGTAGTCTGGTAAATCTATGCATTAGGTGTTAGCCCTATGCATAATTTGAGAAAACCTGGGCTAGAAAAGTGTTGGCAATCCCCTAAATAGCACTGAGTAACACAAGAGCTGGAAAATTATTTTGTCATGAAGTCTACAGATTATGGCAAATAGACCTAGTACAATACAAAACTAAAGGAAGCTGTGGATCTAGTCTAAGTTTAGCATTTGTTTATTTGGGCAGACGAAAAGTGCGAAGTTGAGGAAAGCTTTTTCAAACACTGAAATTTATATTTTTCAGACTCCATTTTCTCCCTCTTTGCACACCATGAATTCAATAACTTGACATAAATAATTAGCATAACACACGAGGCTTTTGAAAAATATACATATTAGATCAATTACCTGCAAATATTTATGATAACCAAATGTGAAATTCGGAAATATTGACGGTTGTGAATGCAAGATGGCTGAATATTCGATTCTCGTATTTTCTCGTGCACCTGTTGTAGTCACGTGATCAAAATCCCGATCACATGATCTTCAAAATGTCGGACAAAGTTTCAAATGATATGAATGAAAAAATGTCGCAAAATGACAATGACAGCCTACCATATGCTTTCATAGACAGTACAATTAAAGACAATCCGATGCTCGGATTTCCTGACGACTTCATTGAGCTGATGAGTGGATATTTTCGCATGGTAACTTGGAATGATGTTCAGAGAGAAAAATCAATTTCTGAAAAGGTTGTTGCTGGATTCGTCAGGCCTCCAACACACAAATCTCTTCAAGACAACCTGCATATATTTAAAAATTTAAAAGTTATTGCAAACTTTGGTGTAGGTGTGGATCATATAAAGATACCACTATACACAGAGAAGGGTATAAAGGTTGCAAACACACCTGATGTACTTGCACCATGTGTTGCGGATATGGGATTGATGCTTATTCTTGCGACTGCACGAAATCTCAAAACTGGTAATTATACATATGTATACTTCAGAATTTCAGTATAGCTAGCATTCACTTGCATTGAAACACAGGCATCAAACAGATTGTTGAGTTGTCCTGAAAAGAAAAACCCTCCCTCCCACTTACATGTATGTGATTTTTGAGATTTTTTTGTACACAAAAAAAATATGTATCTGTTCCGATGCCTGTGTATTGAAACTTTCTAACATTTATCTTTACTTTCCTTTATACCAGCAGTCTCAGATCAGTGGCGTAGCCAGGATTTGACAGGAGGGGTTCAATTATTGGAGACACCTAACGGTGAATTTGGGAAAAAAATTCCAAATTTGCTTAATCTCTGCCAAATTTGCTTAATTTTGGTCCATTTTTTAAATTTTGGCCAGTTTGCTGGAATATTTACCTTTGCAAAACAATTTCAAAAGCAAAAGCAGAGGTGAATTATCTCAATTTTGGAAAGCAAGATAGATTCCATCAGTGACTTGTATATGTGAACAGTGATGTTAGAGATCCTATTTTGTGATGTGTTTGGCCTTAGAACTTACGCACTGTGTTTAAATTTCCACGGACGGACTCGTAGGAATACTGTGTTGGGTATGTGAAGATAACATTGGGTTATACTACAATACTTGTGTAAAGTCGTATGGATCCTGTGCAAATTATGTTACTTGCGAGGTGCTGCAGGATTCATGTGTGTTGGGATAATGTAGAAACATTACTAGATCCACAAAGATGTGATCATTTGAAGTTGAATGACATTTATTTCCACAATGGATTAAACCGTGGGCGTCAGACTTAAAGGAAATGTCCATCTTAAGGTTTCTTGGTGTGTACTTATCCCGTGCCAGGACTATAGTCCTGCGAACGTCTTATTCTTTGGCCTGTACGATTACAACTTGGGAGAATTATCTACGCCCCTTACACTTAAGATACCTACTTCAATAGATTCCTGGGTATTTTAGCATTCTTTTCGTGTAGTCGAATCCACAATTGTTTGGGTATATCGGCAGAATTGGAACATTTTTCTTTTTCATCGAGAGATATTCCATCACTTTCCAAGATGGGGGTTGGATTTAAAAGGGGATTCCCCGTTTGACTGACCCGGAAGTGGGCCGGATAACCAATAAATGGAAGAAGTTGACGGTTGAAATAAGTATATATAAATTTTGCGATCAAAAACGAAAATTTCTTTGTTCTGCCGATAAACCCATACAATTGTGGATTCAACTACACGAAAAGAATGCTAAAATACCAAGGAATCTATTGAAATAGGTATCCTAAGTGTAAGAAGCGTAGAAAATTCTCCCATTGTTGTAATCATACAGGCAAAAGAATAAGATGTTCGCAGGACTATAGATATATTTTTATTAATGGTGATAATCATTTCGCAAATGTCATATTTTACACATTTTATATTTATCCCATCGAACGAAGTTCGGAGGGATCCATCGAACGAAGTTCGGAGGGATATAGGGAACGCCTCCGTCCATCCGTCCGTCCGTCCGTACGTATGTCTGTCCGTCCGTCCGTCCGGGCGATAACTCAAATACCGTTGGCCCGATTTTGTTCATATTTTGTACACATATACCCTATGGGGGAAGAAGTTCTGCTCGAAAGCTGATTTTCAAAATGGCCGCTCAATTCAAAATGGCGGCCATTTTAGTGCTGATTTTACAGTAATTTAGGTGCAAATGTAAAACTGTAATAGCAATATGTTTTAAATGTAAAAAAATTATGAAGGACATTAATAAAGCTATAAATGTAGACATTAAAGAAGCACATGGCAGCCATCTAGAAAAATGGCGGCCTTTACTCGTTATTTTACGATTTTTGCTATAACTCGAAAAGTAGTGGAGCGATTTTGTTCATATTTGGTATGTGAATACTATAAGCATTGCACACTGTCTAAAGACACTTTTGGTATAAGGCGGCCATTTTTCAAAATGGCCGCCATTTTTAACGTATATTACTATAACTCGAAAAGTAGTGGAGCGATTTTGTTCATATTTGGTATGTGAATACTATAAGCATGGCACACCATCCTATGACACTTTTGGTAGAATGCGGCCATTTTGAAAAAAATTTCAAAAATGGCCGCCATTATAACGTATTTCATATGTGGATACTATAAGCATGGCACACTTTTTATGTATATATATTTTTTATGTTTTTTACTATAACTTGAAAAGTAGTGAAGCGATTTGGTCATATTTAATATGTGAATACTCATGAGCCTTGCACACTGTCTCATGACACTTCAGATAGTAGGCAGCCATTTTATAAAAATGGCTGTCATTTTTACATTTTTTACTATAACTCGAAAAGTAGTGGAGCAATTTTGTTCATATTTGATATGTGAATACTTTAAGCATGGCACATTGTCTAATAAAACTTTGGGGAGTAGTCAGCCATTTTGAAAAATGGCCACCATTTTTATGTGTGTTATTTTACAAGTACATGTATGCGATTTTTCAAAGATTTTAGAGGTGGCTACTTAAAAGCATATTATTTCTTCTGATGACAACTTGGCTAGTGAGCAACCATTTTGAAAATGGTGGCCTTTCTGGTGTGTTGTTTTATGATGTTTGCTATATATTTCGTTTGTAAAAATGCCAGCCATTTCTGTTCGATGGGATTCGCTACGCTTTGGCGTTGCCGTTGTTCTAGTTTAACAATAAAGTGATTAGAATATGTAATTTAAAGTTGTACTAAAACCAATTTAAGAATCTCTTATTATCTTAAATTTAGCACAAATAACATCCCTTTTGTTATTTTGACTACAAAGCTTGTGATATTTCACCACAAAACATGATTTATTAGATAAGACTGTCAACCTCTGAAATGTTGTTATTTTTGCGCACTTTTTGAGGCTACCTGACCATGACAGTTTTGACATACCGTGTGCCAAGTTCAGGCCTGTCAACTGTCCCGCAATTTGCTTATTTGTCACGCATTTGCTGAAGAATTTGAAGTCACGCCAGTTTTTTTTGCGTGAGGTGAGGTGATCAAACTTTAGCAAAGGTGCTCAAACTTTGGCCAAAGGTGTTTAAAAGTTGGCCAAAGGTGTTCAAAATTTGGACAAAAGTGTTCAGATTTGGACTTAGGTGTCCAACATTTGTAAGTCACTCATTTTAGGTGGTCCCAAATTTACAGCCATGCAAGTTAATTTTTTTATTTCTTATTTCCCTCAAGTAACAATAAATCAAAATAGAAATTATTTACAGTGGACCTAAAATAAGTATATATACTGCTTGATTAAACGTAAATTGAATATAATAATAGAGCAAGTAAATAAATAAGTATAAATAAGAGCACATTAATAGTTGTTGGCGCTAAATCGAAAAGTTGTTGCAAACTACTACGAAGGCTGAACCAAAGTATAAATATACATAAGTTTCACATTTGCACACATTCCAATAGCCAAATGAATATTTTTAATTGAATGAACTACACAAAAAGAAATTCTTCTGGAAAAGAGCACTGCAATATTATTCATTACATATACAAGGAATTGATTGAAGTGCATTTGTCATTGTATATCGATTAAGCAGTAAGGTTCAATTAAATCCCATTAAAAGTAACTCAGAGTATCGTCTAGTGGAGATAAAGCTAGTGGAACTTACAAATTATATGCAAGTTACATATGTAATTCACCCCATCAACCATTTTGAGTAACAATTTACATGTAGGCCTATTTACATAGGACACTGATTATAGTATGAATATTTCCAACCAGATTTCAAAAAATATCAGACTAGAGGATATATAGGCTAGAGGTTTTTAATGGGAGGTTTTTGATACAGGGTATATCTGAGAAAAATACAATATATCTACCCGGGGGACCGTATGGACCGAGGGTTGATAAATTGTATTTACCAAGGGATATACCCTTATCAAAAATCGAGCATTTAATAACTGATTTATTCTAGCAGATTATGAGAGTTTATAGTCCCCTGGCTCAGTATCTATTCTCTGAATTTGTGACGTCGTAGATCTAATGAGCAGGGGGCAAGTATCTGAAATCGCCGTTTGTTTTCGATAATTCGCGGTTTGTTAGAAGTCAAATATTGTCTAAGTTTTGGGGGAAAATTTAAAGACTTCTATAGACCACGATCTTGTTTTGCACTTCCTTGTCTATGATTTGTACCTCAATTTCGAACTGCAATGGAACTCACTATATTTCGTAAAAATCACATGTTCTCAGTATAGTAGTAAACAACAGAGAAACAACAATTTTTTACCCATTCGGACTATGCATTTTAGATCACTATCTGACCACTATCATGTGCAAGATAATTCAAATTCCAACCTTTGGTATAATCAGAGTTGTTTTTTCCACTGGACATGCAGTTACCTGTATGATTGATATAACTCTGTCCAAACAGTCACAGTACAGTCTTTCCAATGGGTGTAAAATTATGTTTATCAGTTAAAGGCCTCATATAAAGCTATGTTAATCAGTTAAAGGCCCCATATAAAGTTTTAACCACTTTGTTATCTTATCCAATGTTATCAAAGTGTGAAATGTGAAACTTTTCATGAATTTCAAAAATATTTTTTGAAAGATTTTTTGTTCAAAATATCGTGAATTTATTTAAGACTAACTTTTAAAGGTCACACTTATCCTTTAAAATGATAATTCACACCGATGTATAGCATTCATCCTCGCATTGTTTTTTTGCCGACAAAATCGAGAAAATTGGTTGATAGATAACGAGCAATGAACTCATCCATGCATGAAAGTGGTTCAGGGAAAGATGCATTTCAAAATTTTAATTCTCTTAGAAACCAATGGTAAAATAATATTAAAAACATAATATATTCATCCCTTTAATCTGGTTAGACGGTCAACATTGGTTTATTTTTTAAGTTTAGCATATTAGGAAAGATTGACATTGAAAAATATTGCTACCTAAGTGATGTCACAATGGTCACTTAGGTTGAAAATATTTTCGATATGCTAAATCATTGAACTTGCACATTAGATATAAAATTTTATTTTTAACATA